ATAACGAGTTCAGAAAGGTATGACAATCCATACTTTGAATCAGTATTTGCTTTGATATAGCGAAAAAACGGGTTTTGTTTTTTTTTTGGAAATTCGGGATTTCAGTTTTTGACAAAAATTGGACTTTTTTCTTTTGGGTTTTTTGCTGTAACTTGGCCAAAAATGGTCCTACACCAAAAATACATACTGTTTTGAACAGATAACAAAATTTGCTATAAATCCATAATACTTTCCGTGTGATTTTGGAAAAATAAAATTTTAGCCAATTTTTAATTTTTTTATAAGGGGGTACCCCATAATTTTTTGCGAAAAATTAAAAATAACTAAATTGTCAAGGTTTAAATGCCAATCGTTAGGAAATTTAATAACGAGTTCAGAAAGGTATGACAATCCATACTTCGAATCAGTATTTCCTCTGTTATAGCGAAAAAACGGGTTTGTTTTTTTTTGGAAATTCGGGATTTCAGTTTTTGACGAAATTTGGAATTTTTTCTTTTGGGTTTTTTGCTGTAACTTGGCCAAAAATGGTCCTACACCAAAAATACATACTGTTTTGAACAGATAACAAAATTTGCTATAAATCCATAATACTTTCCGTGTGATTTTGGAAAAATAAAAGTTTAGCCAATTTTTAATTTTTTTATAAGGGGGTACCCCATGATTTTTTGCGAAAAATTAAAAATAACTAAATTGTCAAGGTTTAAATGCCAATCGTTAGGAAATTTAATAACGAGTTCAGAAAGGTATGACAATCCATACTTTGAATCAGTATTTCCTTTGATACAGCGAAAAACCGGGTTTTGTTTTTTTTTTTGAAATTCGGGATTTCAGTTTTTGACAAAAATTGGAATTTTTTCTTTTGGGTTTTTTGCTGTAACTTGGCCAAAAATGGTCCTACACCAAAAATACATACTGTTTTGAACAGATAACAAAATTTGCTATAAATCCATAATACTTTCCGTGTGATTTTGGAAAAATAAAATTTTAGCCAATTTTTAATTTCAGTTTTTGACAAAAATTGGAATTTTTTCTTTTGGGTTTTTTGCTGTAACTTGGCCAAAAATGGTCCTACACCAAAAATACATACTGTTTTGAACAGATAACAAAATTTGCTATAAATCCATAATACTTTCCGTGTGATTTTGGAAAAATAAAATTTTAGCCAATTTTTAATTTTTTTATAAGGGGGTACCCCATGATTTTTTGCGAAAAATTGAAAATAACTAAATTGTCAAGGTTTAAATGCCAATCGTTAGGAAATTTAATAACGAGTTCAGAAAGGTATGACAATCCATACTTTGAATCAGTATTTGCTTTGATATAGCGAAAAAACGGGTTTTGTTTTTTTTTGGAAATTCGGGATTTCAGTTTTTGACAAAAATTGGAATTTTTTCTTTTGGGTTTTTTGCTGTAACTTGGCCAAAAATGGTCCTACACCAAAAATACATACTGTTTTGAACAGATAACAAAATTTGCTATAAATCCATAATACTTTCCGTGTGATTTTGGAAAAATAAAATTTTAGCCAATTTTTAATTTTTTTATAAGGGGGTACCCCATGATTTTTTGCGAAAAATTGAAAATAACTAAATTGTCAAGGTTTAAATGCCAATCGTTAGGAAATTTAATAACGAGTTCAGAAAGGTATGACAATCCATACTTTGAATCAGTATTTGCTTTGATATAGCGAAAAAACGGGTTTTGTTTTTTTTTGGAAATTCGGGATTTCAGTTTTTGACAAAAATTGGAATTTTTTCTTTTGGGTTTTTTGCTGTAACTTGGCCAAAAATGGTCCTACACCAAAAATACATACTGTTTTGAACAGATAACAAAATTTGCTATAAATCCATAATACTTTCCGTGTGATTTTGGAAAAATAAAATTTTAGCCAATTTTTAATTTTTTTATAAGGGGGTACCCCATGATTTTTTGCGAAAAATTAAAAATAACTAAATTGTCAAGGTTTAAATGCCAATCGTAAGGAAATTTAATAACGAGTTCAGAAAGGTATGACAATCCATACTTTGAATCAGTATTTGCTTTGTTATAGCGAAAAAACGGGTTTTGTTTTTTTTTGGAAATTCGGGATTTCAGTTTTTGACAAAATTTGGAATTTTTTCTTTTGGGTTTTTTGCTGTAACTTGGCCAAAAATGGTCCTTCACCAAAAATACATACTGTTTTGAACAGATAACAAAATTTGCTATAAATCCATAATACTTTCCGTGTGATTTTGGAAAAATAAAATTTTAGCCAATTTTTAATTTTTTTATAAGGGGGTACCCCATGATTTTTTGCGAAAAATTAAAAATAACTAAATTGTCAAGGCTTAAATGCCAATCGTTAGGAAATTTAATAACGAGTTCAGAAAGGTATGACAATCCATACTTTGAATCAGTATTTGCTTTGTTATAGCGAAAAAACGGGTTTTGATTTTTTTTGGAAATTCGGGATTTCAGTTTTTGACAAAAATTGGAATTTTTTCTTTTGGGTTTTTTGCTGTAACTTGGCCAAAAATGGTCCTACACCAAAAATACATACTGTTTTGAACAGATAACAAAATTTGCTATAAATCCATAATACTTTCCGTGTGATTTTGGAAAAATAAAATTTTAGCCAATTTTTAATTTTTTTATAAGGGGGTACCCCATGATTTTTTGCGAAAAATTAAAAATAACTAAATTGTCAAGGTTTAAATGCCAATTGTTAGGAAATTTAATAACGAGTCCAGAAAGGTATGACAATCCATACTTTGAATCAGTATTTGCTTTGATATAGCGAAAAAACGGGTTTTGTTTTTTTTTGGAAATTCGGGATTTCAGTTTTTGACAAAATTTGGAATTTTTTCTTTTGGGTTTTTTGCTGTAACTTGGCCAAAAATGGTCCTACACCAAAAATACATACTGTTTTGAACAGATAACAAAATTTGCTATAAATCCATAATACTTTCCGTGTGATTTTGGAAAAATAAAATTTTAGCCAATTTTTAATTTTTTTATAAGGGGGTACCCCATGATTTTTTGCGAAAAATTAAAAATAACTAAATTGTCAAGGTTTAAATGCCAATCGTTAGGAAATTTAATAACGAGTTCAGAAAGGTATGACAATCCATACTTTGAATCAGTATTTGCTCTGTTATAGCGAAAAAACGGGTTTTGTTTTTTTTTGGAAATTCGGGATTTCAGTTTTTGACAAAATTTGGAATTTTTTCTTTTGGGTTTTTTGCTGTAACTTGGCCAAAAATGGTCCTACACCAAAAATACATACTGTTTTGAACAGATAACAAAATTTGCTATAAATCCATAATACTTTCCGTGTGATTTTGGAAAAATAAAATTTTAGCCAATTTTTAATTTTTTTATAAGGGGGTACCCCATGATTTTTTGCGAAAAATTAAAAATAACTAAATTGTCAAGGTTTAAATGCCAATCGTTAGGAAATTTAATAACGAGTTCAGAAAGGTATGACAATCCATACTTTGAATCAGTATTTCCTTTGATATAGCGAAAAAACGGGTTTTGTTTTTTTTTTGGAAATTCGGGATTTCAGTTTTTGACAAAAATTGGAATTTTTTCTTTTGGGTTTTTTGCTGTAACTTGGCCAAAAATGCTCCTACACCAAAAATACATACTGTTTTGAACAGATAACAAAATTTGCTATAAATCCATAATACTTTCCGTGTGATTTTGGAAAAATAAAATTTTAGCCAATTTTTAATTTTTTTATAAGGGGGTACCCCATGATTTTTTGCGAAAAATTAAAAATAACTAAATTGTCAAGGTTTAAATGCCAATCGTTAGGAAATTTAATAACGAGTTCAGAAAGGTATGACAATCCATACTTTGAATCAGTATTTGCTTTGATATAGCGAAAAAACGGGTTTTGTTTTTTTTTGGAAATTCGGGATTTCAGTTTTTGACAAAAATTGGAATTTTTTCTTTTGGGTTTTTTGCTGTAACTTGGCCAAAAATGGTCCTACACCAAAAATACATACTGTTTTGAACAGATAACAAAATTTGCTATAAATCCATAATACTTTCCGTGTGATTTTGGAAAAATAAAATTTTAGCCAATTTTTAATTTTTTTATAAGGGGGTACCCCATGATTTTTTGCGAAAAATTAAAAATAACTAAATTGTCAAGGTTTAAATGCCAATCGTAAGGAAATTTAATAACGAGTTCAGAAAGGTATGACAATCCATACTTTGAATCAGTATTTGCTTTGTTATAGCGAAAAAACGGGTTTTGTTTTTTTTTGGAAATTCGGGATTTCAGTTTTTGACAAAATTTGGAATTTTTTCTTTTGGGTTTTTTGCTGTAACTTGGCCAAAAATGGTCCTTCACCAAAAATACATACTGTTTTGAACAGATAACAAAATTTGCTATAAATCCATAATACTTTCCGTGTGATTTTGGAAAAATAAAATTTTAGCCAATTTTTAATTTTTTTATAAGGGGGTACCCCATGATTTTTTGCGAAAAATTAAAAATAACTAAATTGTCAAGGTTTAAATGCCAATTGTTAGGAAATTTAATAACGAGTCCAGAAAGGTATGACAATCCATACTTTGAATCAGTATTTGCTTTGATATAGCGAAAAAACGGGTTTTGTTTTTTTTGGAAATTCGGGATTTCAGTTTTTGACAAAAATTGGAATTTTTTCTTTTGGGTTTTTTGCTGTAACTTGGCCAAAAATGGTCCTACACCAAAAATACATACTGTTTTGAACAGATAACAAAATTTGCTATAAATCCATAATACTTTCCGTGTGATTTTGGAAAAATAAAATTTTAGCCAATTTTTAATTTTTTTATAAGGGGGTACCCCATGATTTTTTGCGAAAAATTAAAAATAACTAAATTGTCAAGGTTTAAATGCCAATCGTTAGGAAATTTAATAACGAGTTCAGAAAGGTATGACAATCCGCATTTGGATTATTTGTTACGGCCAAAATACTGATATTTTATTTTGGAAAATATGAATTAGAATGAAACACAGTACATGTATCCAATAAATTTATTGGGATAAATCCGCTTGGGAATTTCCTCACTCCTCAAGGAACAGTTCACTTATCTTATCATAGCGGGCGGCTTACAAAGGAATCCCGGGTCTAGACCACCTTGTAGCGTCCCTTGTTAAAGACGTGATGAGCGGAACTGAGCTTCAGCAGCTCCTCCTTGATGAGTCGCGTGATCTCGCGCTTGGCCTTCTGGACGGCCAGCTCGCTGCAGCTTTCGATGGCCAGGTAGAGCTTCCTTTCGCCATCCGGCGGATTCTTGCCCTGCGGCACATACGTGCCGCGCACGGTGAGACCCGCCTCCGAGTACTCGGAGATCTGGGCGAGCGCCTCCTTGGAGGTGACCTTCCAGCGCGCCTGCTGCGGGAAATCATTGATCTCCAGCTCCTCCTCGTATTTGGTAAACGAATTGGTCGTGCCGCCCATCAGCGGTCCCAGGCCCTCCTCATCCTCCTTGGGCTGGTAGTTGAGCTTGTTGTTCAGCTTGGCGGCCATCTGCTCGGCCACCGTTCGCGCGGTTAAAAGCGGTGCAGCGCCGGCGGCGGTGATGCCCGGCGGTCCCTTGAGCATCGGTTCCACAACCACCACGCCGCTGCCCTTGGTGTCCAGGTTCTTGCTGCTGTTGATCTTCGAGGCCAGCCGCTTGGCCAGCTCCAGTTTATCGGAGCTGAGTGCTCCTCCTACTCCTCCGCCAGCAGCAGCAGCGTTTTGTACATTAACCCCTCCGACCCCTGAAGCGGAGGCCGCTGCAATGGCCAAATTGGCAGCCGCAGCAGCTGCCGCCGCTTGAGCCGCTGCCGAGGCGAGTGCTGGATTTCCGCCCGAAACGGCGGCGGCAGCAGCAGCAGCCGCAGCAGCAGCCGAAGCCGCAGCAGCCGTGGCCGCAGCCGAGGTATCCTTAACCGTACGCTTGGCCGCAAAGATTTGCTCAATCTGCTGGTCGATATCCTGTTCGATATCCTCCTCGTCGTCGGAATCGGCCAGTCCCAGAGCAGCCTTCTGCAGCTTCTTGCTCTCCTTGACGGCATTGAACTCCTGCTCGTCGAACTTGAAGCCCTTGCCGCTGAAGCCGCCGCCCGTGTGCACCGTCTTGCCCTCGGCCTCCTGGGCGGCCTTGTATTCGGTCCACAGCGTCTGCAGCTCGCCGGGAATCAGGGTGCCGGAGAGGTCCAAGGCGCGTATAATATCGCCAGCATAGCGCGATTGTTCGGGGGTAATAAACGTGTAGGCGCTACCCTTTTTGCCCGCTCGACCGGTGCGACCGCATCTGTGGAAAGGAAAACATTTAGAAATATATGCTATCTGAATTGGTAAGGCAATACCAACCTGTGCACATAGTCCTCGTAGTGATTGGGCACATCGTAGTTGACCACCAGTATGAGATCCTTAACGTCGAGGCCTCGTGCCGCCACCGAGGTGGCGATCAGGAGCCGCACCTTGCCCGACTTGAAGTCGATGATGGTGGAGTCGCGATCGAACTGATCGATGCCGCCGTGCAGGCTCATGCAGGGATACGAGGCCTTCATGAGGTCGCGCAGCAGGATGTCGGCGTTCTCCTGCTTGTCGACAAACACAATAATGCTGCCGGCCTCCTGGTAGATGCCCAGCAGTTCCAGCAGCTTGAAGAACTTGGCATCGTCGTTGAGAATGACGACATTCTGTTCGACATCCTTGCAGACCACCGAACGGCCGCCGACGATCACCTCGATGGGCTTCTTCAGGATGCGTCGCGCCAGTGCCTCCATTTGTCGCGGAAACGTAGCGCTAAACATGACCGTTTGTCGATCCGGGCGCACATTGTCGATGATCCGCATCACTTGCGGCTCGAAGCCCATGTCGAACATGCGATCGGCTTCGTCCAGCACAACGTAGGTGACGCGTCGCAGGTTCGTCACTCGTCCCGAGTTCGCCGCCAGCATATCGATCATGCGACCCGGTGTGCAAACAATGATCTCGGCTCCACGCTTCAGTTCGGCTATCTGCTCGGAGATCCCAGTGCCGCCGTAAACGCAAACTGGCCGCAGTCCTAGGGATTTGCTAAACTTGCGTATGTCCTTGCCGATCTGCATGCAGAGTTCGCGCGTGGGCGCCATTATGATGGCGATGGCCCCGTCGCCATCCTCCAGGCTCGGCTGGTCCAGGATGTGCCTAAACATTGGTAAAATGAATGCCAACGTCTTGCCACTGCCGGTTTTAGCAATACCTATCAGATCCCGTCCGGACATGATGGCCGGTATGGCCTGGCACTGGATGGGCGTGGGCTTCTCGAAGCCCAGCCGCCGCAGCACGTCCATTTCCTTCTTGCTGACGCCGCACTGGGCCCAGGTCTGCAGGGGATTGTAGGGTAGATTAGTAAACGGTTATGGAAAGGTTTAAATTAGAGCCCTACATGAATCATTCAATTTTTGTTTTATCATAGTATGCCATGAAATTTCTGATTTCTTTAATTTAATTCTTTATGAAATAAATTGAATGTTTTTCTATTTCATTTCAAATTGAATGAATGATTAATAATTTTTATGAATTTGCCAGATTTTTTTGTGCTTTCTTTTGAGAACAAAAAGTGGAAACTTTTTAACAAATCAATGTTAACTGCTTGGGAAATAAAATTCCGGCAGATTTAATCACAAAACGATGGGGCTTTCTTCTTCAAAAGAAATTGTCGTTTTAATTATTTCGGAATTCAAATTCATTTAATTCTATAAAACTCAAAATTCAGATTCATTCAATTCTATTAAACTCAAAATTTAAATTCATTCAATTCTATTAAACTCAAAATTTTAATTCATTCAATTCTAAAAAACTCAAAATTCGAATTCATTCAATTCTATTAAACTCAAAATTCAAATTCGTTCAATTCTATTAAACTCAAAATTCAAATTCATTCAATTCTATAAAACTTAAAATTCAAATTAATTCAATTCTATTAAATCCAAAATTCTAATTAATTCATTCATATAAAATAAAAAATTCCAAATAATTCATTGAATCCATTCATGCAGGGCTCTATTATCCACTCACCTTGATGGGCTTCGGACAGCCCTTGCCCTTCACCTGAACGCCCTCCAGTTCGGCGCGATACTTCTCCACATCGCCGGGCGTCATGCGCGTCAGCTCGGGCACCTCCACGTAGAAGTTCTTGCGGAAGGGAGCATAGGTCACCGAGGAATGATCAATCTTGGCCAGCTCCTTGCGATGCTTCATCGCCAGATTGACGGCCGTGTCGCGTATATCCTCCAGCTCGTCCTCGCTCGAGTACTCCAAACTGTCCATATTCTGTTCGATCAGCTCGCCCTTCTTCAGCGTCGTCGTCTTCTTTTTGGCCACCCCCGTAAGGATCACGACGCCCTGGGCTTTGGTGGGCGGATTGACGAAGTTGTTCACGCGTCGCATTTCATTGTTGACCTCCTGCATGTAGGCATCCAGTGGATCGATGTCGTCTTCGGGCTCTGCCTCTGGTTGCTGCGGTTTCTCTTCAGGTGCTGGTGCTTCTACTTTGACCTCCTGCTTCTCCTCCTCTTTGGGGGCTGCTGCGACAACGACGACGGCGGTGGGCTGCTCCTCGACAATCTCCATTTTGATGGGTGATGGCTCCTTTTTGATCTCCTTCTTGGGCTCCACCGGCGGCGGTGGCTCCTTCTTGATCTCCGCCTCGCTTTTGGGCGCCAGGCCAATGCCCAGCTTGGCGCCGAAAGACTTGCTAAAGGTGGGTCGCTTCACCGGCGAGAACTTCGACTCGACCAGGTCGTCGTCGAAGCGCTTGCGTATGCTGTGGAACTTGGAGGGCGGCGAATCGGGCTCGTCGGCCTCCTTCTTGCCCACTTCGAGCGGCGGCGCCGGATTGCTGTCATCCTCCTCGGACTCATCCTCCAGGCTCCATTTCTTGGCGGACTTGACCACAGCCGGCGCCACAACGGCCGCCGTTTTGGTATCCCGCTTGCGTTCCGCCCGCCAACGCTCGATGCGCTCGCGCCGCTTGATCATCTCCTGCTCGAGGCGACGCTGCTGCTCCTCCTTGTCGATCTCCTCCACCTCCTCGTCGGAGGAGCTGGTCGAGGGCACGGGAATGACCAAAGGAGCGGCTGCCGCGGCCCTTCTGCCGTCCGATTCCCTTTCCCGCTGGCGATCGCGTTCGCGATCCTTGTCCCGTTCGCGCTCCTTCTCCTTTTCGCGCTCCCTGTCCTTCTCCCGCTGGCGATCGCGATCCCGGTCACGGTCGCGCTCCTTGTCCGCGCGTCTGTAGTAGGGGGAACTGGTGAAGATGGGTTTTTAGATATATTAATAGTGGTTTTATGTGGAAAAAATATGTATGTAATATGTATAATGTATTAAATATAATGTAATATGTAATTTGGGTCAAAATATTAATAAAAATCCTGCTTTTAGCTTTGAGTTACGATAAACAAAAGTAATTTATATTATTAAATTCCAGTTGTATACAAAACTGCAGTCTACATTTTTTTTTTAAATAAATAGTGATGTTATTAAATATCCGACTGCATTTAAGAATAAATACGAATGTTCCGAACTCCTAATTAATTTTAATAAAATTATAAACTTTATCTTAACCGTAAAAGAGTGTTAAATTATTTTATTTTTTAAGCTTTTTATATTGCGGGTTCCTAACTCTTTGGTATGTAGATCAAATTGCACTTTAAAGACACCATGCTTTAATGTTTTAAAATAAAGAAAAATTATAAGCTTAATTCTTATATCGTATTCATTTAAAGCTCTTTTTTTAATACATTTTTATTGTGGTTCTTAACTTATTCAATTTCCTAGCCTGTTTATTGGCAACTTCTATTTTTGAGAACCTTATTTTAGATATTTAATATTTCTTTAAATCAACAATATTAAGTTTATGCCTTTATTATAAAACAAGATTTATAATAGGTATCACAAGTGATGTTAGGATATTTATAAACATAGGATTGTGTTTTTTGAACCATTACATTACGTTTATAATGCCAAATTGTTGATCTAACCTTAATTTATATAATAATTATTGTTTTAAAGGGTATAAAAGAGGCATAAACGTAGTTATAACGTTAAGGTAAAAGTAATATCATAATATCAAATCATAGGCATTTATAATCATAATAACAATGTGGTTTTCAAGGAGTTTACAAAAGGCGCAGCTAATTTGGCCATATAAATGGATAGTATATTCATGGGGAACCCCATTTTTTGGATTTCAAAGCCGACTCACTTGTCCTTGTCGTAGTCCTTGGACCTGGAACGCTTCCGCCGCTTGTCATCGCGTCTTCCGCGATCGCTGGCCATGTCCTTGCCGCGCTTCCGGTCATCCCGGGCACTCCGGGAGCCACCGCCTCCTCCTCCGCCGCCGCCGCCATTCCTGGACTTGCCCATGTCATAGTCGCGACTGCGACTATCGTGCCGGTTGTCCCGCTCCCGCTCCCGATCTCTGTCCCGCTCCCGATCTCGATCCCGGTCCCTCTCCCGCTCCCTTTCCCTCTCCCTCTCCCGGTCGCGCCTTTTAAATGGATAAATGTTTCAATTAGTTATCTGTGATCAATCGTAAACCGTAGAAAACTCACCCGGAACTTTTTGACATGGCGGTTTTTTTGGGGCTTTCTGTTCGCCGGTCTAGCACTGCCACGCCTCCAACTCACGGGCGGTGGTGGAAATGTGCAGTTTCCACTGCCTTTGGCTCACCGCACGCGCCGCACAGCACAATGCAATCGCTTTTTATTGAGATTTAACGAATTTTCCTTGCGAAATTTCACAAAATACAATCTTTCTGGTCATCGATTTACCTGTGTATCGGGACTATCGTTCTTCGATAGCAGGTTTGCACGAGCCAGTGCTGCCGTATCAGCTTTTCCCGCCATTTTTAGCTTTTTTAAACTTATTTTCGAACAGCGGAAATAGAGTAAATTAAAAATTTTAGTTTTTTATTTATAACTATCTTAATTTTTTCGCTAATTTTTCACAAAATTAAATTCCTAGTGGTTTGGCTAAGAAAGGTTTAAACAGTAGCTTGTATTTTGTACTGCAGTTTTCTACAAATTCGTTGTTACAGCAAAACTAAGTGGCCTTCGATTGGATAAGCTTTTTACTTACTAAAGATTTAGTAGCATCATACCTAATAAACTAAATTTGATGCTTTGTTTTTTTATTTATGTAAAGCTAACTTAAAGTTAAAACCATAAGCTAACTAAAATTAAAAGCTCTTAGCAGCTATGGCCTTCAGAGAATGCATTGTTTAATGCACTTTATTTATTTCAAACCCTACTTTTATTCATTTAAATAACAAGCTGAATAAGAAAAGGGTTTTAGCTTCTATTTCCCACCAAAAGTAGTCATCACTGCATATTCGATAAGTTCGATAAGATGGAGTGCGTCCTGGCTAAGTGTTCAAATTGGCGTTGGCACTTCGCTGGCGCACGTGTTGAGCGCATAAACAACAGATTGTTCAACCGCTTCATCATCCCAGCTAATCCTGTCCAGAAACCGCCATGCCGCCGGACATCGAGATCATTGTGGGCACCTACGAGGAGTATCTGCTGGGCTACCAGCTGTCTGAAGTGCCCGGCGACTCCACTACGGCCAAATTGCAGCTAAAACAGACCTTCGCCGATCGATCCCATGCAGGATCCATTAAATCCGTGGCCGTCCAGGGTCCCTGGGTGGCCAGCGGTGGCAGCGATGACCGGATCTTCGTCTACGACATGCGGACACGCAAGCAATCGCAGATCCTGCTCTCCCATTCCGGCACCGTGAACACCCTGCAATTCTCGCCCGATCTGACGCATTTGCTCTCGGGCAGCGCCGATGGCCACATGATCGCCACTCGTGTGGGCAGCTGGACAACGGAGGGCGATTGGCGCAAGTCGCATGCCGGCCAGCCGGTGACCCACATCAGTTGCCATCCCAGCAGCAAATTGGCCTTGTCTTTGGGCGGCGACCAGGTGCTGAATACCTGGAATCTGGTCAAGGGTCGCGTGGCCTACAAGACGAACCTGAAGAGCAAGACCACGCTGGGCAGCCAGCCGGATTGCCTGTCCTGGTCGACGCAGGGCGACCACTTCACGCTGAGTGGTCCGCTGTGCCTGGAGATCTGGGACATCAAGAACGCCCATGTGGTGCGACGCACCAAGACGCCAGCGAAGCCCATTTGCGTGGCCTGGCTGGATGGGAGCAGGCTGCTCGCTGGCCTGGAGAACGGCAGCATTGCCTGGATTTCCCTGGATGACGAGGATGAGGAGTCTCCAGTGGGTTTTCCTTCTATTTCTTTAATTTCCCTGTAATTTATTTTGGATTTTTCTCCTTACAGCCCAAAATTATTCCCGCACACGAGGCGCGGGTCAAGGCCATGGCCTATCTGAACGAATCCCTGGCCACCGTTTCCAGCGCCGGCGAAATCAAAGTCTGGCGGATCGACCTCGAGCAGCGGCAGCTGGAGGAGATTGCCAGGACGAGCATGGACTGTCGACCCACCGGCCTGGGTCTGCTGGATCTGGGGCAGTTCGGCAATGCCCGTCCGGCGGTGGAGCAGCGCATCAAGGTGGAGAAGAAGCCAAAGGCCCAGGCGGAGGGCAGCAGCACATCTGCGAAGCCAGCGGCTCCACGCGGATTCGTGACCATCGAGTACGAGCAGGATGAGAAGCAGAAAGCGGAGGAGGAGGAGGAGCCGGAGGAGAAGGAGGCAAAGAAGCCAAAGAAGAAAGTAACAAAGAAGGCGGCGCCGCAGGAAGCTGAAGAATCCTCCGAGGAGAGCAACTCCTCCGACGAGGAAAGCGACGACTTTGACCAGGAGAGCGACAGCGAGAGTGACGCCTCCAGCGATGGTGGCCGAAGGAAGAGGAGGCCCACCAAGCGGAAACAGCCACCCACTCCCTCCGCCAAGCGAAAAGTCAAGCAGCAGAAAAGGAAATAATCTAATGCTTAATTTTTACACTATTCTATGACTGTCAATAAAGTTGAGTTAATTTAAATCAGTAATCCACTGTTAGTTGGGTTCTAAAAAACTTTAAGTAAAGGGAAAAGCTAACTTTAAAAATTAATTTAAATCATAAAATTGAAAGAAAACCATTTGTAATACATTTATTTCTATAAAAATGCAAGAAAGTTAACTGAAAAACATTTATAATATATTTATCTATATAAAAATGTAAGAAAGTTAACTTTGATATAGTAGATATTCCAAAAACCTTCTTTTCAATCAGAAAAAACTTTAAATAAAGAAAAAAAGAAAACTTTAAAAATTAATTTAAATTATAAAGTTGACAGAAAACCATTTATAATACATTTATTTATATAAAAATTTAAGAAAGTCAACTTTGATATAATATAATGTCAGGTTCTTGTCCAGTAAATATTTCAAAAATATTATTTTCAATCAAAGAAACAAAGAAAAAACAACCAATTAAAATAGAACCAAAAAAATCCAGATAGTTAATCAAAGCTTAACCAGTTTGTCGGCTAAAATACACTCGAAAAACACTCGAAGTCTTTATTAAATCATTAGTTGATAACATTAACAATTTTTATTTGTATAAATTTGGGGAGGCAGCCGCCTGGCCAAGTGGCACCTCCCGAATTAACAATAATTTCCTTCATCTTTTGTTTGTTTATATTTAGTTTAGGGCAACTGGTATGCAGGAGGATCTGGGATGCGGGAGAAGGATTCACTGGCTCAATGGGCCAGGAAGTAGTGCAGGAGGTTTAGGTAAATGCGCTCCAGCAGCGGCCAGAGGTGCTCGGCCAGGAACTGGATGAGGTGTCTGAGCGGCGGGCAGAGCGTGCACATGTAGTCCGTGAGGGCGTCCAGCACGCGGATGGCCAAGGGTCAGTTGTTGCGCTCCAGCCGCAGGCAGAGGCCGCTGCTCCCGGCCAAATCCTCATCATCATCCCGACCGTCGGCTCCCAAGGGATAGCAGCCATCCTCACGCCGCGGACAGCCATGTGTCCAGGCCATCGGCTCCTGGAACTTGTCCACATGCAGCGGATTGAGATAGGCATACAGGCGGGGATGATCCACGTACGAGGAGCACGCATAGCACCACACCGAGAGGTCCGCCTGGCTCATCGCCAGCGGATGCTGTGCCTCCGCCGAGTGCAGCTCCATGTGGCCGCCCATGTAGCGACCGCAGCCCACCAGCCGGCAGCCCAGACACACCCAGTTCTCCCCCGTCGATCCGCAAACGCTGCACGCCGCCCCGCTGTCTATTGCTGCTGGGGAGGAAGCGTAAGAATATATTAGTATTTTGTTTACTATAAAAATAACTTCTATAACAAAAATTTATTTTTTTGAGCATGCAATAAATTAAAATTTAAAAAAAATATAATATATTATATAATTTAAATTTTAAGAAACAAAACCGAAAGCGTGCTATAAGAAAACCATTCCAGAAAAAGACTTCTCCTATACACAAAATCAATCCATTTAAAGGAAGGGCGTTTTCAGAGAGCAAACAAAAATATATATAAAAGCCATTCAGCCTCCAAGCACAAAAAAATGCACACACAGCATAAAAACATTTATAAATAATTTAGAAACAATAACCAATTTCCAATTTCAGGCACCAAAAGCAAGAAAAACCAAATAATTCAACAAAAATAAGGACAACATTCAAAGGACATTCAAAATAATAGCGCTTCTTATATAAAATATTTTTTATAACATTTTAAAATTATTACCCAATTATAAAATGTTTCTTATGCAATATTTAATAAAACAAAAGGTGTCTAAAATACTTTAACCAAAAGAAAGTTTTTCAGCATTTAGTTTTTTAATGACATATCATAGTTTATAAGGTTCAAACCTTTATAAACATTCTAATTCATGAAGAAATATTATATTCATGAAAAAATATTATATTCTCTTAAAATTTTGGAAAATATTTAAAGTTTTTAGGTTTAAAAGTAGTTAAGTTCTGTAAAATCAATTACCAATTCACAAAAATGGTTTCAAATATATAATAATACATTTAAATTTGAAAACCGTAGAAGAATTCAACAGAATTGATAAATAATTCAAGTATTTCTAATTTTAGCTTTAAAAACTTTAAGTTTCGAATACTTTTCCTCTACTTATTACAAAAAAGAAGCGCTACTATGTTGAACAAATGGAGCCACTGGCCGATTTCCCTTTAGATTGGATTGGCTTACATTGCGGCGCCTCCTCCGGTCGCAGGAGACTCAAATGCGGGCACGTCTTGAGCGGATACACGGCGAACATCTCATTCTGCTCGAGGGCCTGGCCCGTATTTAATCGAATCGAATGGAGATTCAAGAGTGAGACGGAGGAATGACATGAAATAGGGGGAGATAGATAGCACGCACGAAAATAACCAATTAGTGGATCGATTTCTATTCAAAGCGAATCACAATGATCTGATCTCTCGTACCTCCTTGTTCTCGGCCAAATACTCGGTGAGCGTTTTTACCTTGACTTTGGGCTTGCTGCCGCTGGGCCGCTCATCGCCGCAAGCGTTCCGATCGCCGGCCGCGCCGCCCGCCGCCCCCGGTGCGTCGTCATTTGAGATATTCAACTGTCGCAAGGAGGCGGTAAGAAAATCCTCGTTGTTATTCTCGCCCACACAATCGCCGGCCGGCAACCGTCGGCCCACAAACTCCAAGCTCCGCCAGTGGCTGCGTTGAATCTCCAGGCACGACTGCAGCGATTCCACGCAGCTCTGATGGGCCACCGTCGGCGGCTTCTGCAGAGCCACTGCACCCAGCTGGGGCGTCGGCACCGGATCGCCCAGTAGCGTCTTGGTGCACATGGTCATGGCATACGAAATGGAGTTTACATTGTAGCCACCCTCCAGGCAGACGACAATCCTGCCGCCGGCCAGCGCAGAGAGCCAATGGGTGAGCAGGCCGTAGCCCTCGGGCGTCACCTTGCAGCCGCCCAGCGGATCGCCGATGGCCGCATCGAAGCCCGCGGAGACCAGGACCAGTTGCGGGTTGAACTCGTAGGCAATGGGCATGATCAGTTGCTGGAAGGCCAGAGCGTACTCCAAATCACCCATGCCCTTCTGTAAATGAAATAAAAATCCAATTAATACAGAGGCTTAAAGGAGTACTTAAAAGCAGGGTTCGGAAATTGACACACATGTTAAAAAACATTTACAAACATGTAAATTTGTAAAAAAAAAAATGTGAAAAATAATTGCTAAAACACAAAACTCACTTGTGTTTTTTACACGACGTGTTTTAACACGATGTGTTTTTTACACACTGTGTTTTTAACACGGATCAAAATTACATTTCACAGACATTACGAGTCGAAGTCAAATACAAAATAGTTCAAATGTGAAAAATAATAACACACACAGCTCACTTGTGTTTTTGACACGACGTGTTTTTTACACACTGTGTTTTTAACACAAATGAAAATTACATTTCACAGACATTACGAGTCGAAGGGAAAATAAAAACCATTTCAAAGCATATATGAATTCTTATACTCTAGAAAACCGTTCATTTTTCAGTTCAACATACAAAAAAACAAAAACTTTTTGTGTCAAAAACACGCTGCGTAAAAATCACGTGGTGGTAATAACACATCGTGTAAGTAACACAAATGACATGTATGTGTTATTTATGTTTCTAACATTTATAGGATACAATTTTTTAAACACATATCAATAATTTTTTCTTTAACCTTAACATTTAACATATTAATGTGTTAATAACAAAAGTTTTTTACAGGGTGTGCTATTTTCCGAACCCCGTTTAAAACCCACCTTATTCCAGGGTATATTCACATTGAATCCCCGTCCGGCTCCCTTGCCCACCACATCGTAGTTGCCGTCGGGTCCCTTGGGAAAGAAGGCTCCATGCTCGTAGCGATGAAGGCTTATGTAAAGCACCTTGGGATTCGCCTCGAAGATGTGCTGCGTCCCGTTGCCGTGATGCACATCCCAATCGACAATAAGCACACGTTCCAAACCAAAATCCCTGATAGCATACTGCGCCGCAATGGCCACATTGTTGAAGATACAGAAGCCATGCGGCTGATCCTGCTCGGCATGATGGCCCGGCGGACGAACGTTGCAGATGCCGTGCCGCGACTCGCCGCGCAGCACACTGTCCACCGCCTGGAGCACGGCGCCGGCGGCCAAGGTGGCGCAATCGAAGGTGCGCGGATGCAGATACACCGAATTGTAGCCCGCCGCCACGCGATGCAGTTCCTCCGGGTCGCGTCCCATCAGTCGACGCACCGAATTCACATGCGATCGCGTGTGGGCCAGGCAAACTTCATCGGTGGTGGCCGCCCTCGGCGCTAGCTGCTTCATCCTGGCCAGCAGGCCGTACTCCTCGTGCATCTTGTGGATGTGCTGGACGCGCGATGGCTGCTCCGGATGGCCGGGATCGTCGAGATTGCAGTGGAGCAGCATCTGGGCGTCGTACGAGTAGCAGACTCTCACCGCGGGCAACGATAGCTTTGTTTCGGTGCGGAGGACCTGCAGACGGGCCGCATTCCTGGCCAGCTTCTCGGGGGGCAGAGGAATAGCAGTATCCCTGGTGGGATAACGATCCACTGGCGGTGGTCCGCCTATCCAAAGGCGCAGCAGCTTGTGTAGGTCCGTTTGAGCCTTCTCCTGGTCGAGCAACTCCTTCGAATCATAGGTTCGCTGCAGCTGCAGGCAGCGCCAGTGCGTCCGATGGACGGCAATGCAGCTGAGCAGCGCCTGCGTGAGTTCGGGACGCGGCAGAGGCAGTACCTCCACCAGTCGGGGGCAGGGATCGCCGAGCAGGGAGCGCAGGGTCAAAGCGGCACCCTCGGCCAGCGAGTCCAGGCAATAGCCGCCCTCCAGGACGACGGCCACCCGCGAGTCGGCGAGTCGCAGGAGGGGATTGAGCAGATGCGGATAGCAGGCCGGCGTCACCTCCATTTCGCCCTCCGGACAACCGAGGGCCGCATCGTAGCCAGCCGAAACGATAATCAGCTCCGGCTGAAACTCCAGGGCCACCGGCAGCAGGAGCTGCTGGAAAATGGCCAGGTAATCGCCGTTCGTCATCCCAATCGCATTCAGGGGCACATTGAAGTTGTAGCCCCTGCCCGCTCCCGATCCGATGGCATGGTAATCCGACTCCTGCAGGTGCGGCCAGAAGCTGCCGTGCTCGAAGCGATGGATCGAGAAGTAGACCACCCTAAAAACATAGAGTACTGGCTTTAGAAACTTGGTAACTATATGCTGAAGGTATTTACTGTATGATAAAGGATGGTTTTATATTAATTATATATTAATAATAATTTAATTTTAGGTAAATGCATCTACTGTATGATAAAGGTATAATTATATGATAATTATATATTAATAGGTAATACTTTAATTTCATAGGAAAAATAAATAATTCCCTAAAAAGTTATAGAAATATTAAAAAAAAAAATATTTTAATACACAAAAAAATCATAGTTATATACTATACTATACATATATACTATATACTATATACTATATTCAAAACCATGTACAAAATTAATATGTATAGGAAAGTGGGGTAAAAACGACAGCCAAAAATTTAGCAAAGGAATAATCAACAGAATTACAAGTAGAAAGGTAAAAATTACCCACCTATATATTTATTTATTATTTTTTATCAGGTCAACTCACCTGGGATCGTTGTAGAAGAACCTCTGCGTTCCCTGTCCATGATGGACGTCGTAGTCGATGATCAGGATGCGCTGCAGCTTGTGGACATCCAGGGCGTGCTGGGCGGCCAGGGCCACGTTGTTGAAGAAGCAATAGCCATTGAACTCGGCCTTCATGGCATGATGACCCGGCGGCCGGATGATGGCCATGCCATTCTGGGCCTTTCCAGCGATCAGATGGTCCACCAACTCGATGGTGGATCCGGTGGCCAGCAGGGAAAGCTCGAATGTGGACTAGAGGGAGAGAAAGATGGGGGAGGTTATCAGTATATACGCTCTACATAATCTACTCGCAGCTAATAAAGCGCCAAGAATCTTATCTAAGACTAAATAATATAAATCTAACCGCGAAAAAAACTTGTTTACATGAATTTACAGTGCGTTTCAAAAAGATTGATTTGCAGGACAAACAAAATTATCGATATTTTCGATATTTTAGACATTGTCATTCACGAGAATAGCAATAAAGAATTATTACGATAAAATACAAATAATATTTAATTTAAATATATAATATTGCTTAATATAAATATTCATAAATGCAACAAAAAAATATAAATAGAGAACACATTATGCATTCATTTTTCCCTTATTAATAATGAATAAATTAATTTTAAGTATGACATTCTATTCAAACAATTTAAATCATTATTATCACATATATTTACATTTATGAACCGCACTGTACCTGAACCCCAGGCCCCATCTAATCTAATCTGCTTCAATTTGCATTTATCAAGTCAAAAATAAACAATCTTCGCTGGCAATCAAGCGTAAATACAATAAAATAAGCTAATGAGATGCAAGGCATTTGGATGCATTGTTCTACGGATCCGAGAGATTAAATAGATCCCAGCGAGTACCGATTGCTCACCGGATGAATGTAGATTGAATCGTAGCGGGAGCTCAGGTCCTCCATGCGCTCGTCATCACGAATCCCCGAGGTCTGCTTCAGGCGCTCAAAGTGCTCCTCCGTGTGCAGCCGCAGAATCTCCTCCTTGGTGGCCGATCGCGAGGGCAACTCCAAGCAGCGCTCCGCCAGATTCAGTTCGCGGCAGCTGGAGAAGATTAGGGAAGCAGATTTTTTAAAAACTTATCAATTAAAATATATACGATAAAAAAAATAAATAATAAACCTGAATATGTACTTAAAGTTAACTTATAAATTAATAGCAGTCACTGTTTTTTGTAGAATATAATTAAAATGTTTCTCCACAGCTTACATTATTTTTGCTAAGCAATTTATTTAACCAAACCAAGTCAAAAATTGATTTAGTTTCTCTAATAAATTTAAATAGTTACACTTTCTTTACGGCGCGGATTTATTACCTACAGCTAATAACTGTTTAGATGTATTTAATTCAAACCTTTTGTATATTATTAAGTGTCAATTTTTAATAACGACCGATAATGATCGTATTTATATTTTGTTTTTACATTTTGTTCAATTAATTTTTAAATTTAAGTATTTTTTAGGATCTACCAAAGTCAGTAGGGCAATATTTTCAATAAAAAATTTGACTTTTCGCTCTAAAAAATATTTTAAGTTAAAAAATAAAATAAACTGTTAGGTCGCGGGTTCAATACCCACTTCTGGCCAATGAATTTGTTTAATTTTTCAGCCTAATCAATTTAATTTTTAAATTTTAATATCTAATGATTATTTTGATCAATTAATGGTATACAAATTTCTCCCAGCCTTGTGGACTTGCTCCACTTGGAACTCACCGCTCCAGGACGCGTGTGAAGCGCTCGGGGCACTCGTAGTGCTCCTTGTCCCACAAACAGCAGTGCTGGCTCATCGACTCGTCGTAGATGAGGGCCGTGGGCTTTCGCACAGCGCCCTTGCAATCGACAGCCTATATATGTTAAGGGGAATTATTAAATATATATCGAGGATACAGATACCATGAGATCTACTCACATTCTGGAATATATCCGTGACGCACTCCTGCATGACGTTGCTCTGGTTCTTGAGCATGTTCCGCGCTCGACGTTTCGCCTCCAAGAGCGCTGCGCTCGGTTTGTTCGCCTTTCGCGGATCGGCGGCACTGATACCGCCGCTGCCGCCGCCGGCAGAGGAGCCGCCGCCGCCGCCGATCACCCCGGCCGCCGTCGCCGCCGTCGCTCCCGCCGCTCCCTTCGACTTACTGGCCATTGCCCGCGTCTGAATCTTGGCCTGCTGCGCGCTCCGTCGCGTGACGATGGGCGGGCTCTGGGGAAAATGGACTCGAGTTTAGTTACCAGCTAAGGGGGGCGATTTATACGGATGGTATCCAGTCTCCAATTTGGATATCCACTCAGGCGTGACAAGTACACCGTATCCACTATCCACTAACTCTTCCCGAAAAACTACAAATTATTTATATGAACTATACAAAGACTATCGACAATTATCACTACATTAAAAATTTACTAAAATCGTATCGAATGCTACAGCTAATACGAATATTTAGGTGCTTGTCAAGTCAAGGCACTTTTCGATCGGAGATTGCGATGACTGACATACTTTGATTACAACCCAAACAATCTTGGTACAGTTTGTACTACAAAAAATAAATATTTCAACTAAAGATATAAAAAAAAAATTTTTTTTTTAATAAAAAATATATATTTTACAAATACTTCTCTATAACTATTATCTTTGTATTCTTAGAAAAAAAATGGGAAATTTGATTATTTGAAAGATTAAAGTGGTTTTAAGTTGGCTTGGGTTTACTACCACTGAAATTCCCCTGAAAATAATAAGCAATGTTTAAAGTTAAAAACTTCCAAAGAACTTTACTATAACTTCTAAATCTTAAGAATACTTCAAATTTCTTAGAATGTTGATTCCCATTATTTATGAACAAGATACAAAACTGTTATTTTTCACGAATCTAATGTGGGTTTGACTTTTTGAGTGAAAACTGTATTTCTTTGATAAGAATAATTACTATTAACATCATAGGTAAATACTTTATAAAGTTTAAAAAATGTATTTAAGGTTTTTCCAATCTCAAAAGACTCCGAAAATGGAATAAGGTCATGCGATATGAAATATTTCCATGCGAGGTTATCAAATACCTTGAATATTAAGGAGAAACGACCAAAAACAGACCGTAAATATTAAAAAAAAAAACAGATGTATTACTTATTATTCCGAAAGTTGAAGTTTCTTTTTCGGAGGTTTCACTGTGCCTCCAGTGGGAACTGCCGCCAACTGTTGGCCACGAAGTTTGGACTGAAACTGCGGCCATGGAGCTCTGGAAACCTGGCCAAAAGCAACTGGGGCGTAATGTTTGTGTGTGGGTGTTGTTGCCACTGCCGCTTTTGGCCAAAACAACAGCCGAACGACTCGAAAAAGGCGGCAATAATCCGCCAGTACTCACCATGTTGTGGGTAAACGAGTCCGAATTGGAAAACCAACCGAAAACCAAATCCGAATCCGATTCCGAATCCAAATCCGAATATCCGGCGTAGGAAGAGGAAGCAGCAGCAGCAGCAGCAAGCGGGGGGCGTGGGGGAGCGGGACGGACTGATTCACAGCTGCTTGTTGTTGTTCTTCCCCTCCCACTTCTTCTTCTTCGCTGTTGTGTATTATATACCGTTTGTTCCAAACAAATTTCCCGGCTCACCTCTCACTCCTTTAGTCCCGTTATTTATCGATTCCGAGTCGCACACTTTTCTCTTATAATTAGCCTTCTTTTTTATTTTGTGTGCGCTATAAATTATGCCTAGTTTATTTCTATCTCGCTCTCACAATCCCTACTGCTTGTTTGTTTGTGTGTGTTTGCGCTTCAGTTGCTCTGCATTCGATGTTGTTGTTTTTCCTTTTGATATATGTACTTTTTGTTTGTCGGCTGCTTGCACTACTTAATACTTAAAACACTGAGTAACAAAATTGGACTTTAGCTGGCGGCTTTTCGTTTGATTTTCAAAAACGTTGCAGTTGCATTCGTGATTTTTTTATTTGAGCAGACGAAGATGCAGCAACAGCACAGATACATAGGCACACCACACGCACACACACGTGCAATCAGAACCTGAACCAGAAATCCCGAGCAAACACACAAACGGGGGGATGGGGGTCGGGGGGCGGTGGAGCACTGTGGGGGGCAGAGACGAAGACAGAGAGAGAGAGCGCGATGGGAATCGATGACGCGCGGGCGGAGCGGAATGCAATGTTTGCCGTCTTCTTCTTGCCGCTTACAAGCAATCAGCTGTTCGACCGATAGACGCAACTTGTTGAATAATCGGGGGCCATCGATTGATAATAACAACTGCACTGATAGTTGGTTATTGCTTGAAAATCCATTTTTTATGAATTAAATTATTAAAAAAATAATTTTTACTTTAATTTCAAACTTATGTTTTTGGCTTCTGCGATGGAATGGACAAAAATTAGGCTTCTTTTGTACTAGCGATAGCTATCGAATAAAATGCAGTGCTAACTCAAAATATTATCGTTATTTTTCAAACCTTTTTTTTGGGTATTCCTCAAATTCCAGTAATTATTAACTAACATCGTGTAGACTTACCAAAAGTTTGATATATATTATATATTGGAGTCTCAATAATTCTTATAGCGCTTTAAGATCAACTTTTTATTTAAACCGATTAGACAACATTAAGCATTCGTTTCGGACAGATACATATATCATAAATGAATTTACTTGTGTTATCATTTCCACAAACAATTTATGAAAATATTATTAAGTTTCATTTCTCAATTATATAATGTTAGTGAAAGCTTCAGTTTATAACGTTTTTGGCCTTATCATCATTTCAACAAAGGTGAGTGAGTAGTTCCAATCGTAGTTATGCCAGGAACCCCAAGAAATACCACCTTCCTTTTTATCTGGAGCGTGACCCTCTTTGTAGAACTTTCCATTTAGCTTGCTGTAATTTTAAGTAATTACATTTATATAAATAACTTGTTGGTATATTAATATAATTACCTCTGATAACAGACATGGTACCACCAACCACCATATTCATCGGCAGCGCAATTCCGTTTATTTTCATCGTTATCCTTGTCAAGTGTGGTGAACTTCATGTTCTTATGAATTTTGAGAGAGTCGCCGACTGTACCATTATAGATCCCCAGCGATTTAAGTTCGTACAATTCATCTTCACTTCCGATTTTAAAGTCATCATAATGAGCGTAGCCTGTGGATCCATTTACCTTGCCAAGTTTAATGTAGAGTTCGTGTGGTCGGGCTTCAGTCATAACGTGCAATCTCTCGAGTCCGATGAAAAATTCTCCACTTATATTTCCGAATCCATCTTTGTAGTCCTTCCAGGGTCGATGGAAATTCTCCGAGCCGTCAAAACGCTTTTGAATAGTTAACCAACCAGTTGAGTTGCAGGGCGCTTCGAATGTATTCATTCCGCGAATTTTAATTTTGTAAATGCCACTTGGTCCGTCGATGGGACAGAAACCCTGTCGATTGCACTTTACAAGTTTATCTGTTATTTTGGTCATTTTTTCCTCATTCGATTTCGTCTGGTTATTGAGGCCATCGATTTGGCTGTCTTTGGTAGCAATATGTTCACCTTTCAACTTAATGTGCTCATCTTTTTTTTTAGTTTCGTTTTTCAGGTCTTCAATTTGTTTTGTCAATTTGGCTATTTCTTCATTGCTATTTTTTATCAATTTATTTTGATCAGTAATCTGAGAATCCTTAGTTTTTATTTGATCCCTAGCAGTTTCCAAATTACTTTCCAAATTGTTTATGGTTTTGTTCATAGAATTTACTTTTTCCGAATTCGATTTTGTCTGGTTTTTGAGGTTATCGATTTCATTGTCCTTAGTAGCAATATGATCACTTTTAATTTTTAACTGTTCATTTTGATCATTAATTTGAGAATTTTTTCTTTCGATTTCACTTTTTAACTTTTGTATAGTTTCTTGCGCAGTATTTAATTTGTTTTGCAGTTCCACGTTCGTTGCTGCAGATTCCTCAAGTTTTATATAATGATCTAAAAACGGCTTTAAAATCGAAAAACAATATCCGTTGCACTGATTTTGTAATGATTGTGTTGAAGAAATTTGGTGTAAATCTCTCAATGGGTCTCCGCAAATAACATATGGCTCTTTTAAAAGCCAAACCGACAGGAAAAACACAAAGTACAATTTCATTATGTCAAAAGCTCTGCCAACTCTAAACTGAACTCAACAAAGACCATTTGTGCGGTATATAAAGCCAAAATCTTGTATTTGTCGAACATGACAATGCAGCAGCACAAAAGCATTAACTTTTGAACCCGACTGATAATGTGACTCTAACAAGCAATAATTTATGTTCTTGGAATTCTCCCCTTAAATTCGCATGTTTTTAATGTTTTCATTTTTTATTGGGAAAAAAACACAAATCATTTTCTAGGAAGCTATCAAAGTACTATAATATTATAACTAAACGGAATAACCGAATAAATAAAATAGCATTTAGGAGATAACCAGAATTGACTGGCAATAATTTATGTTCTTCGGATTCTCCCCTTAAATTCGCATGTTTTTAATGTTTTCATTTTTTTTGGGAAAAAAGCACAAATCATTTTCTAGGAAGTAATCAAAGTACTATAATATTCTAACTAAACGGAATAACCGAATAAATAAAATAGCATTTAGGAGATAACCAGAATTGACTGGAATTTTTCGGCAATGTTTTGTTTTTATTAAAAGCATCTTATCTAATAGCACCACTAAATCTCTCCATTGTTTTGAATTCAAAATACGAATTTTCAGATTAAATTAAAGGGTGGCAGCTCTGTTAATTAGATATCTGATAATGATCGATATCCACTGCTGCCTGCCTATCGCCACCCGCCAAAAGGTGCCATTCGATAAATCGCTTCGATTTCCTTTTGATTTGAAGGTTCCTTGTTTTGTGGCTTCCGCATCCATTCCATGCTGCTGCCGTCTGTCCAGGAGAACGTGCCGGAGATGCTGCTGCAGCCGGCTCGTCTGGCCTTCTGCGCCAATCTTGATCTGGGCCGGCCGCGGGATCGCTTCGACTGCGGCAGCACTTTGGTGCTCTCGCGGAACCTCAAATTCTACGAGTTCCGGCGCAAGGAACTGGTGCACCACATCGATTTGCGGGCCACGCAGCTCCAGCAGCTGGCCAAGCAGCTGGAGGCCTACGACGGCCCCGCGAGCCCCTTCCTGCCCAGCAGCGAGTGCAGCGAGGAGCGGCTGGACGCGGATATGCTGCAGGATCCGGAGGAGCTGCCCCTCAAGTTCGGCAAGTTTGTGTGGCAGGGCGTGGAGATCTACCTGCTGATTCGCTGCTGGCGGCAGCTGATCGTCCTGCGGCGGCCAAAGGAGCACGGGGCCAACTTTGAGCTGGTGGCGCAGCACAAGGATGTGGAGTCCGTGCAGATGGTTCGGGGCAGCATTCCCTACCAGGCCGTCGTGGAGCTGCAGTTCGGCAATGGCAAGCGTCAGCGCTGCGACTTTCAGGAGGAGGAGGAGCAGCAGGATCCCCAGCCCAGCACCTCCAAGGAGGCGGGCGAACTCCTGTCCGCCCAGGAGTTCGACGGCCTGGTGCAGCAGGTGCACGGCCTGCGCGCCGAGCTGGCCAGCCAGCGCGCCCAGACGCAGAAGGACTTTTCGCTCGCCCAGGAACTCCAGCTCTTCGGCACCGCCGGCGAGCGTTCGCTGCTGTTGGAGGAGAAACAGCCGCTGCGGCGGCTGGGCGACGTTTGGACGCGGATCTGCGGCGATTATCTCGTCTGCGGCACCCTGCTAATCAACGTGGCCGGCGGCCAGCGGCTGTCGATTGTCCAGGAGCTGTATCCGCTGGTCAGCCTGCAGCCGCACAGCAACTTCAGCCTGCTGCAGCGCTTGTACGAGCTGCCCCTGCTGGCCGATGGCCAGCCGCCCGAGGATTACGACCAGCTGGCCCAGTTCTGGGCCTGCCAGGAGCAGCACAGCAGGCGGCTCAAGTGGCGACCGTTGGCCAAGTCGCGTCAATTGGCTCCCGAATCCTCGGCCGTCATGGTGGTGGCCCTGCGTCTGGTCGATCTGCTGCAGGCGGAGCAACTCCACCTGATGGCCATCTACGAGATCGCTGGCGGATCGGCGGAGAAGGAGCCGTCGCAGCGGCAACTGCACCTGATTACCTTCGATGTGAGGAAGCTGCTGGATGCCGGGGAATCGCTGGCGCCCAGCTTTTCGCCCGCCACTTTGCACCAGGACTTTCTGGCCGTGATTATGACGCACAATGCGCACTGTTCGCTGAAGCTGGTGTTTGAATCGCCTGAAGATTGCAAGGCATTCGAGCAGCTGTTGGTGGCCAAGCTGCAGTTCGAGATGATCGAAGCCCAGGAGCAGGAGCCACCAAAAGAGCAGGGTGAGTGGATCGGAATGGCACGAATTTGTATATTTATACCCTTGCTAAGTATAAAGTATATATATTCTTGATCAGCATCAATAGGGGAGTCGCTCTAGCCTTGTCCGTTTGTCTGTCCGTTTGTCCGTTCGTCTGTCCGTATGTTTCCACGCAAACTAGTCTCTCAGTTTTTGAGCTATCGGGTTGAAACTTTCCCAAAAGTCTTCTTTCTATTGCAGGTAGTATATAAGTCGGAACCGATCGGTTCGGACAACTATATCTTATAGCTCCCATAGGAAAGATCGAAAAAAAAGGGTAAAAAAATTGAAGCTTCGGTGTTTTTTAAAAATATTACCTTCTACTCTTGGGAATATTATTTTTTAAATATATCTGAAATTCGAATAAAATTTAGAAAAAATCAGATCAGGAACGGTCGGAAAATTAAATGGAAATTAATAGGAAAAAAATGATATCTTTGTTAATTTTTATTATATATAGCTTTTCTTTAACATTTCAAGATTTCGAATTATATGTGACAAAATCCGGACGTCTATACTATATAGCTCCCATAGAAAGGATCAAAAAAATAATGCCAAAATAATACGAAAGAAGCTAGAAGCAAGTAAATCTAAATGTAATGGTTTTTTAAGTCAATACAATGATCTGCAAGGGTATATATTGTTTCAATCCCTAATAATTACTTACAGATTCCGACCTGCTCGATGACTCCTGCCCGAACGCGGCCTTTCAATCCTCCAAATCTGCCACCGCCGCCAATTCCGTCCAGCACATCTTCTACAACCGCCAGCCGCTGTCGCAATGGTGCGGCGCCCTGCTGCTCCGCGACGATCCCGGCCAGCGTTGGCATATCTACGCCCGGACGGACGACCGGCTGAGCCTGCTGCTGCATCGCCTGCGGCGCGATCTCCTCCAGCTGCACTGCAACCTCACCTACCTGGGGGTCAACGAGCCCGGCCTCTCGCCCGCCGACGCGGCCGTCGAGCTGGGGGCCAGCCTGCAGGAGGAGCTGGAGGCCTGGAAGGAGCTGCTCAAGCCGGCCGAGAGCCAGGAGCAGCGCCTGAAGCAATGGACCCATCTCCACGAGATGCAGTTCGTCAGCGATGTGCTGGCCTCTGTGATAATGAGCGCCGAGATGGAGAAGAAGGAATGAATTGCGTACAATTTTTGTACAAATGGAAAACCAATGATATGTTTTCAAATTTTATATAATTTTTCCTATGTAATGCTTGTTGTTTTTTCATATAAAAAATTTATTATATTACATTGTTAACATTTATGAGAAATAAAAAGAACTTTGGACTAGGATGAAAAAATCCAAAGGATTCGAAACTAAATTATTTTTTACTTCTATTTTGGATTGATATATGGATTTCATTTAATGGTACTTTATGAGAAACTTAGGATATGTCTTCAAGTTGTATAATATATTCCTTTATCTTTATCCTTTTATATTTTTTATACGAGTATATTGGTAAAGAATTTATAAATATTGCATTGTTTACAAACTAAAGCATAGATAAGGGATTTAAAACATTGTTGAAGAGAATATACATCTATTTTTAATATATATTTTGTGGATGATTCTTGATATCTTGTGCCATTTAATTTTACTGTCATGAGAAACAACGAAAACGTATTAAAATTGTACAACATTTGATTATTTTTAAATAATAAATAGATGATATTGCAACGATAAACGATTTTCGTTATTTTTCAAACCTTTTTTTGGGTATTTCCCAAATTGCAGTAATTATTAACTAACATCGTGTAGATTTACCAAAAGTTTAATATATATTATATATTGGAGTCTCAATAATTCTTATAGCTCTTTAAGATCGAATTTTTATTTAAACCGATTAGACAACATTAAGCATTAGTTTTAGACAGATATATCATTTCCACTAACTATTTATCAAAATATTATTAAGTTTCATTTCTCAATTATACAACTAATTTGATTAATGTTAGTGAAAGGTTCAGTTCATAACGGTTTTTGGCCTAATCATCATTTCAACAAAGGTAAGTGAGTGAGTGTAATCGTAGTTATGCCAGGAACCCCAAACAATTCCACTTTTATCTCGAGTGTGACCCTCTTTGTAGAACTTTGCATTTAGCCTGCTGTAATTTTAAGTGTTTTATTAAATATGTTCTATTGGTTATTATTTATATATTTACCTTTGAGAACATTTTTTGTACCACCCACCACCATATTTATTGGCAGCGCAATTACTTTCAGCATCATCGTTATCCTTGTCAAGTGTGGTGAACTTCATGTTCTTATGATATTTAAGAGAGTCACCGACTGTACCATTATAGATCCCCAGCGATTTAAGTTTATACAATTCATCTTCACTTCCGATTTTAAAGTCATCATAATGAGCGTAGCCTGTGGATCCATTTACCATGCCAAGTTTAATGTAAAGTTCGTGTGGTCGTTCGCGAGTCATAACGTGCATCTTTTCCAACCCGATAAAAAATTCTCCATTTATATTTCCGAATCCATCTTTGTAATCCTTCCAGGGTCGATCGAAATTCTCGGAGCCGTCAAAACGCTTTTGAATAGTTAACCACCCAGTTGAGTTGCAGGGCGCTTCGAATGTATTCATTCCGCGAATTTTAATTTTGTAAATGCCACTTGGTCCGTTGATGGGACAGAAACCCTGTCGATTGCACTTTACAAGTTTATCTGTTATTTTGGTCATTTTTTCCTCATTCGATTTTGTCTGATTATTGAGGCCATCGATTTGGCTGTCTTTGGTAGCAATTTGTTCACCTTGCAACTTAATGTGCTCATCTTTGGTTTTAATTTCGGTTTTCAGGTCTTCAATTTGTTTTGTCAATTTGGCTATTTCTTCATTTCTAGTTTTTATCAATTCATTTTGATCAGTAATCTGAGAATCCTTAGTTTTTATTTGATCCTTAGCAGTTTCCAAATTACTTTTCAAAGTGTTTATGGTTTTGTTCATAGAATTTACTTTGTCCGTTTTATTTTGGAGTAGTTCACTTAGATCAGTAATGTTTTTCATTTGCATATTCAGTTGATTAGTTTTATCAGTAATATTTTTAAGTTGGCTTTTAAGTTGTATAGTTATATGACTGATCTGAGCTTCTTTGTTTTGTATTTCATTATTAGCTTTTTCCAACTTTCTCTGCAAAATACCAATATTTGTGCTCATAAAATCAAATCTTTCATTTGCACCTTGGAGTAGTTGACTTTGCTGAGTAATGTTTTTGATTTGGTCATTAAGTTGTTCGATTTGATCTCTGATTTGATGATCTCTCCTCCTTAAGCTTGTAATAATTGCATTCACAGGAATTGAGTTACTTGGATTTGCACCGATAATGGATAGCTCGGTGACAAGAAAAACCGACAGAACAAGCGCCAGGCACGATTTCATTATGCTGGAAGCTAAGACGACTCTGAACTAAAACTAAACTCAACAAAGCCACTGAAAATCGGAAACTAGCGGTTGTATAAAGAGCGTACCGAAATAAGAACGTCGTCGCTTGTTGAGTTACTATTTCAAACTGATTTCTTTGTTAATATTCAACTCTTAAGTAGCTAACATGAGAATCTTATTTTACCTGCTTATCCTTGGGTTTTTACAGTGCACATCTGTTATGGCTTATGTGCCTAGGATATTCGACCCTTCTTGGGACATCCCATATTCGGATTACACTTTATGACCGTATTGTAAAATACGGTTTACACAAATATATCTATAAAACGTGTTCATGTTTGAACAGCGTCAATTCTTGGGAATACAGCATCCCTTATCAAAATAATTTATTTATAAATAGTAGAAGAAGAATCTAGAATGAATTCTAAGCAATATTGCAAAAGAAACTAAATCTTAATAACCATGTTTGATTTTGTACGTACATTAGTAACGGCTACCATGATATTTTTCTCAAAAAAAAATGTTAAATACCAGAATTTTTCTTTCGCCCATGCGGAGGGTCAAACTTGGTTTTAGGCATATAGTTTCTTGGTCGATATGTCTTAGAATGCTTTTTGTTCCGCCCAAACGATTTATATCTTTTTTCGCGTCCATATAAAATTTCCATTTCCAATTTAATAGGATATTTGCCGGAGTTTGTCATCAACAACTTAAAGGAGTTGTGCGAAATTTAAAGAATTTTTGAATATATTTTATTAAATTTATGATATCTGGTTGTTTCAGTATTTATTTAAACTGGGAATATATCTTAAAATTGTATAATATATTCCGTTTCTTAAATGTTTTTTGTTTCTTTTATATAAACAATTTATGATATTGCATTGTCAGAGGACTTAGGATCTACTCAACTTGAAGCATTTTGGAAAACGATTGGATCAATCATTGTCTCGGGATTATAATCAAAATTTACAACTTAAAGCTAGGTGGACTTGGTCTGGCTGGAATCGATTTGAGGGACGTCACCGCTCCTCCTCACGTGCTGATGCGCCGATGCTGCTCCTCGCCCTTGATGATGCTGTCGAGGACGTTCTCCAGATTCTGTGTGGCCGCCGACAGCTCGGCATTGTCGCTGTACGAGTCCTCGACGATCTCCTTGACCTTGTGAAGCAGCAGCTTGAAGTTCACCATCTCGGTGTCGCCGCCGTTCGTTGGCTGCTGTTTCTGTTCCAGCAGGGCGCCCAGCGGCATGGGCAGCGGCAGAGGAGCAGGCAGGGATCCAGGCCCCGGCTGCACGCTCGAGCGACGCTGATCGAACCACAGGCTGATGTCGTTCAGGGAATAGTCCGACTTGTTGGCCTCCAAGTAGCTGCGATTCAGGTCGGCGCCATTTACTGCAATGTAAAAAGAGTCATTAAAGGTTTGTAAAAGTTTTTAAAGGCTTTCCCTTGGGTTAATCTCTTACTGGAGTGCGTGAGATTGGCGCCAACGGGTGCGTACATATCGAAGATCTGCCTTTGCGGCGTGCTGGAGCTGAGGAAGGTGGAGCTGACCAGGGGAGCCACCGGAGGGGCCACTGGAGGAGCCGGCAGAGGTGGCGAGGCAGCCACAGACGAGTGCTGCAAAGTATAATCTCAATTATATTTAGGGCCTTTGGCACCAAAAAATCGACCAACTTTGCGATTTTTTCTATAAAAACTGGTTGGATGGATTTAATTCAAACCTTTTGTACATTATTAAGTGTCATTTAAACAACATCCACTAATTTTTATAGCCGATACTGTCGGCTAATATATCGGTGGCAAAGCGATTGCTGGAACACTATTAAAAAAAGGCGTTTTGCGGTGTTCACTGTAGCTCCGCTAAAATTGATCGGATTTCCATTTTGTTTTTACATTTCGCTTAGGAATTTAATAAACCCGCCCCCTGGGAAGCCCTTTTTTTAATTTTTTATTTTTGAGAATTTTTTTCGATATTCCAAAGTCAAAAATGCGTTTTTCACCTAAAAAAAATGTGAATTTTGGCTTAAAAAAAATATTTTAAGGTAAAAAATAAAAAAAAACGCTTCCCAGAAAAATATGCGATTAATTTGAAAACGGAAAATAGATGAAAACGGAAAAAAATGCAAGACCCCACCCCTCTTAACTGAAATCCTAGTAAACCCACCGATAGCTGCCGCATATCCTCGATGATCTGCAGCAGGAAACTCTGATGGGCGCTGAGAAACAGCGAGATTTCCGAACTCGAGGCGGTTTGCACCGTTTGCAGCTGGCTCTCCAGTTTCCTAGTTAATAAAAGAAGCCTTTAGATGGTCAGAAAATAAAGATAAAGATAAACCTACGCATTCTGCAGCAGCAGGCGATCGATGATGGACTGCAGCCTTGAGGAGGCCTTGCTGGCCAGTCCGGTGAGCGAGCAGAGCTCCTGCTGCTGAAGGATCACAGTGCGATCCTTCTCCTGGCACTGACTACGCACACTGCGCGTCTCGGCGGGAATCGGAGTGACCACGGAGGCGGCACCGCTCTCCTGGGCATTGCAGAAGCCGCGACGCTCCTCCTCCGGCTGCGTTTTGCGCCCGGGCATCGTCAGCCAGCCGCACAGCCTGGCCAAATGGCGGGTCCAACGCAGCGGCGGCTGATCCTCGACGAAAACCTCGCACATCCGATGCCCCGGCTCATGGCGGCCGCCGGCAAAGCCCACGGCAAAGCAGGGCAGGCACAGGGAGACATCGCGGCACACCTGGCACCTAAAGCGAATGCCCACAATGTGCTCCCTGCGGCAGCCGGCACACGAGTTGCTGTGTATCAGGCTCTCCGTATCCTCGATGCGTTTGACCAGCGACAGCAGATTGCCGTAGATGAGGAAGCGCGTCTGTCCGGCCGTCCAGAGTTTGTGGAACTGCGACTCCGTCAATCCACCGACGCCATGTGGACAGCGGGCGAAGCTCTGCTCCAAAGCCAGCGGCAAATTGTGGAGGCCATAGGCCTTGGACTCGCCCAAATAGCCGAGTAGCTTGCCCAGCGTGGAGAGGAGCTGCTCGAAGGCGTAGCGCGAGATGATCTGCGACTTGGGATCGGCGAGCAGGGCGAAGAAGTCGCCGATCAGATGATCGCTGCTAAAGAGCTTGCACAGCAGGATGAAGGTGATCTTGATCTCCAGCAGGGAAATCGAATGTCGGCGGTGTCTAGAAATGATAGATAGTTATAGTTAAGGTAGCTAGGAGCCTGGGTAACCCACGGATCGTAGACATTCCAGAAGAAGTTGGCCAGCAGGCTGGTGGATCTCTCCAATTGGTAGGAAGACGAATCCTGCTGAAAGTGTCCCAGCTTCTCGCTGGCAAAGTAGACGTCGTGGAGGAGCGAGGTCAGCTGGAAGGGCGGCACCATCAGCTCCAGGCCGCCGCCGTTCAGGTTGTGCCGCTCCAGAATGGCCAAAAGAAGTTTATAGGGAATCTTTCCCGCTGCAAATATTTATAGGTTAATCCTGAAGGGAATCTTTGTAAGGGCTGTAAACTACCCACTGTGGAATATCTTTTGCAGGGCCACCAATTTACTGGCACAGCGGTAGACCGTGTACTTGTAATCCGCGTAATCCCGCTGCAGTTGCTCCATTATCGTGGTCAAATCGAAATCCTTGGCCACCTGTTGCCCTTGTCCTTGGGTTTTTATTTGCTTCTCCCTGGCTATGGTGGCCACCGCCTCGGCGCTGTTGCGCATCTTGGTCAGCTGCACGGGCACCGACATTCCCAGCATTTTGCAATCACTTGGTTTTTGTGTAATTTCCCAGGTTTTCTATTTCCTTTAACCGCGTCGCTTTTCGCGATCGCTCTTCCTCTTGCCTTCCGTTAAATATCAAATTTATAAGGCGCCAGGTGGCAACGCCACAGGTGCTATCGATATCAGTTGGGCTAACCGTTAACATTTTAAAAGTTATCTAAAAACGATTAAATTAGTGTTTACGCTTAGAAAATCCTGATTTTCCAATTAAAAAGTATAGTATTTTGGTCATAAAAATGGAAATAATGATCCAAATATGGAATGCCATACCTCGTTGAACTCGTAATAAAATCCCCAATCGATCTGCATTTAAACCTGTAAATTTTTAATATTTGCCAATTTTCGCAAAAAATTATGATGTAACCATCATTAAAAAATGGAAAAATTGATCAAAAAATTAATTTCGCAGAAAGTGATGGGATTCGTTAGTATAGGTCGTTAGCTGTTCAAAACAGTTTTAACTGTAGGCCTTGATTTGTGGAAATTACGACTGAAAAACCACAAACCAATGTTTATTTTTGTCTAAAATTCTAATCCATATTTTCCACCCTAAAATATCAGTTTTTTAGCCGTAACAATGGAAATAATAATCCAAATATGGAATGTCATACCTCGCTGAACTCGTTATAAAATTCCCTATCGATCTGCATTTAAACCTGGAAATTTTTAATTTTTGCCAATTTTCGCAAAAAATTATGATGTTACCCCTTATCAAAAAAGTGAAAATTGGGTCGAAAATTGATTTTTTCCAAATCAGACGAAAAGTTTACTGATATTATTTATCAGGTTGTTAGCTGCTCAAAACAGTACGCCTCTTTGATTTGGGACCACTTTTGCCCAAGTTACAGCAATAAATCTATAAAAAAAAGTACCAAAAATCAAAATTCCGATTTTCCGCAACATGTGTCTTATAACCCATTTATTAATTAAGGCACCCGAGAAAAACGCTAATTATTCAATTTTAAAATTAAATATATGTTGTATGTATATTTGCATCATTCCATTACAATTACATTAACTTACGCTATTTTGTTTTTGTTTTTTTTTTTTTCATATATTTTGTTTTTGTTTTTTTTTTTTTCATATATTTTGTTTTTGTTTTAAAATAGTGGGTTTTTCTTATCATTTCGTTCTTGTTTTTTCTTTGCTTATATCAATATTGTAATATGCCAAGTTTATATGTGAGTGGGGTGAGGCGGGGGGCGAAGAGGGGATTGTAATTAGTTTATTTAACTCTTTTTTTTTGCCTTTTGAAAGCATTGTCCCGCTTCCGTATGCGAATCCACGACATACGTATATAAATGTTTTTGTTTTTGTTTTTATGTTCTTTAATCACTAATTATCATATGTGTGTTTGGGTCGCTATTTATAATATAAAGATCGTTCTTTATTTGCAATGCGCATTTGCAATTTATGCTAGGGGTTGTATAGGGGGTTTTTTTGTGTGTTTGAGGCGAAATTTCCATCGATTTGCGTTAATAATATTAAGAATACGGCTACATACAATCATAATCATTGAACGTAAATCATAAATGATGGGGGGACAAGGTGGTGTGTAAGGTATAAGGTATAGGGGTTGTTCCTTCTGAACTCTCCTTCCATATCAGCAGCAGATCCATTCAAATCCACTCTCTGTCCAGCGGCTTTTGAATAAAATCGGTATTGGTACAACGCAAATTGAGTAATTATAAAATATATATTTATTTTGATTGCCGGCCGCTGGACAAAAAGTGGCCGAAGAAATGGTCGCTCGATTTTTACAGGCTCTCTTTTTATTATTATTTTTTAGCTCACTTAATTGCACATACTAATAGATCCTACATGTATAAAGTTCCATTCTTTTAGATTAGAGTTTTCGCTGCGACTGTTTGTTGGCTGTGGTTTTGGTTCATTGATTGATTTGTATTTGCAATTTATCTTTCTTTTGTGTTGTGGCTTGGATCTCAGTTAAGAACTTGAAACCTGTCTATTATATATATATAGGTGTATTATATCATTATCATACGGGCTCTCTTAAAGTATAAAAGGGGGTTTGTTTGCAAATGAATTTAGCATTCGTTTATTTTTTAATTTTAACTAAAATCATAAATCGTGTTGGGTAAATTGCGCTGGATCAGAGTTTTTTTGAATTGAATAAATTATGCTATGCTAAAAAAGTTGGGCTACAAGGTTTCTCTGTTCATTTAGCACTTAAATACGTAATCGTAGTAATTGTATAATTAATATTAATTAATAGTGAAAGACATTTTTTCGCTAAACAAAAATCAACTATAGGTAAACATAAAAAAACCGTTAATTTTATCATTTTTCGTTTGCTTGTAGGTTCTTTTCCTTTTTTTTTTAGCTTTTACTTTCTTTCTCTTTCTTTTTTGTTTATAGTTTATATATAAAAATTAATTAATTAAAAATATATAAGAGAAGTCAGCAGAGTTTTGACGACAAAAAAAAAAGAAAAAATTTGTTGCTTCTTTTGTAGACGGTAAAACATAGAAAATTATGCTCTTATTTTGTTTTTAGGTGGCGGCGACGTCTTGCACAGGTTTCTCTTCTTCTCTTGGTGTTTATTTAAATTGTTGTCTCGTATATAATATATATATATATATATTGTGTTTAAAATATATATATCCATATATATATATCAATATAGAAGTGTGAACGCGTGTGTGGCATGTTTTTGGTGTGTACATTTCGCAAGTTAGACTTCAGCGTAGTGCGCGCACTTGAAACAATCAAACGTTTTTGTTTTTCCAAAGCAGACAAAACAGACGCAGATCCAGATCCCTATCCCTAGAATACATCCGTCCCTTTCTTTTCTGGGGGAGGAGCAGTATAATCATCCCGAAATGCCTTTACCGAAAACCGAAAAGCTGAACATATGCACTACTGTTTGCATAAACTTTTCGGGGCAAAGTGTCTTCGGGTTCCTAGTCTTTCAACCTGCGCTGTCTATGCTTCTTTGTGTGTGTGAGAGGGGGGCGTATCTGTGTGTGTGGGTGGGCGTGCCTGTGAGGATAACAACCCAATTTAAAAACGATAATGCTCATCGGCCATGTGAATGGCCCACAGAAATTTGGTTCTTTGCGTTTTGTTAAATATCTTCTCGATCGGCACTCCGTTCTTTTTACACCTGTTAATAAATAAATAAACATATGAGTATAATTTGGGTTGCTAAAGGCAAAGAGGAAAACCCACCAAGCCACCGATATGCGTGGATCGAGATAGTTTAGCTTAGATGTGCCCAGGGCAATGGTCTTATTCTCGTCTCTATCAGTCTCTTGTAATTCTAGTTTCTTCAGCTGATCCTTCAGGCGCTCCAGCTGTTTGCCCTTCTTGTCGGCATTGACCTTCTCCTTCACGGATCCCCGTTTGGCGGCCTTCTTTAAATCCTTTAAGATAAGATGGCCAACGAAAGATATAAATATTAATTATATATAAATCCTCTAATTCGATATGAAATAAGTTCATTTCTACCTTATTTTATATCAATAAAAAATAATGTCAAATCTATGATTCAAACATATCAATTTGATATTTTATCATGTCATATAAAATACCAAATTCAGTATTTTTTGAACAAACATTGTAAATTAAGATAAACATAATCTTTATACATATCAAAATGATATGAATAACTTGATCTTTAAAAAATAATTAAATTAACCTCTTTTTTTTCTCTATAAACTAAAACCACAAAGAGGTACTCACATGATATTCAGCCTCGCAATCATCGATGGCATCCCGCTTGGTCTTGATCTTCTCCTTCAGATTCTCCATCGACTTCTCGTGGCCCTTGGGCACGGAACGCTGATGGTTACACAGGATGGCCACGGCGCGATTGGCCCGATTGTAGGCCAAGAGCTTCTCCGGTACCGTGGCACCCGGATCGGTGAGCAGATCCAGCTGGCTTTGCAGTGTTTTCGAAGCGTTGTACGTACGGAATACCTTGGCCGTGAGTCCTAGTGAGTTTTTGTGGGGATAACAATTATAAGTATGGAGACATTAAAGACGGTTGCAATTACTTACCATCCATCAGCTCCTTGAGATGCTCGTTGAGCACCTGAGTGTTGAGGCGATCGAAGAGATCGTCGCCCTCCTTCTTGTGCTCCATAAACAGCTCGAGGTTCTTGAAGACGCGCTTCTCCACCTCGACCTCGTTGTAGTAGCGAATGGAATCCTTACCGGGGAAGTCGAACACCACCACGTTCTCCTTGCCGTTGAGCTCCTTGTGCAGCTGGACGTGCTCGACGCGCAGCGAGCAACAGCCGACGGTGTCCGCCTGATCCTCGTCCTTTTCGTTGCCCGCTCTCAGCGCCAGCTTGTCGATAAAGTAGAGGGCAACCGCCCGCTGGCGCACTCGCATCTCCTTCGACTTCCATTCGTCGCGATAGGTGGCCCGAATCTTGTCGATCACCTTGTCCAGTCGCCGTGCCGTCTCGTACTTAATGTGATCCTTCTCGCCCTTGAGCTTCGAGGAGGGATTCAGCATGATGTACTTGACCTGGCCCTGCACGTTCTCGATCCAGGAGGCCAGCCAGGTGACCGTGTTGTCGTGGCGCACCTCCTTCCACCGCGATCCGTATGGGGGCGAGGGGACCTTGGAGTCCTTGCCGCAGTTAATGGACACATCGCTGGACTGAATGCGACGCTTGATCATGCCCATTTTGGGATGCTCGCCACGGCCACGGAAAAGGCCGGGAGGCTCCAGGCGAAAGTTGCCAATCTTCTCCTTGTGGCCGTCGATCATACAGAAGCCAAACTCCTTCATCAGCGCCTCGTTCTCGTTCTTCTTGATCAGCTTCTCCTCCTTGGTGGCCGCCTTGCGCTTCTCGGACTCCGCCTGGAAGAAGTTGAACATCTCCTGGAAGTTGCACTTGCGGAAATCCTTGATGATCTCCTTCTCCTTGGACGTCATCGACTTGCGGAAGTCCTTGAAGAAGTTGTTGTTGAACACATCCTTGGTGCAGTAGTCATGATTCAACATCTTCGCATAGAAGGTGGCCGCCTCCTCCGTCTCCTCGGAGAGTTCCAGTGGCTTGCCGTCGTAGTAGAACCGCACATTGCGGGGCACCCGCTCGTAGGGCGGTGCGAAAACGGGTCCCTTGTGCTCCAGCGTTGTCCACTTGACGCCATCTGCGCGCTTCTCCTCCTCCCACCTGGAATGGGAATGGGATAGATTTGGTAATTTAGTAATCAATATTATTCCAGAATTAAGTTCTCCCTAAAAACCAGGTATTTTAAGGATTTATAAGAATTAATATGAAAATATACCCCAGATTCTCGGCAAAATCTGCATTTTATTATATTTTTAGCTACCTAGATATTTAGCATTTAATATTATATTTAAGTAAACAAAATTTAATTGGGTAACGAATATTTTCATCAAATTCCTATTTTTTAGGAAAACTTAGTAAAATGTGTAATAATAATTAGAAAGTAATAATAATTATTATTTAAGAATTATTAAATATTTAGTTATTTGTATTTCGAATGATTTTCTTTCACTTTCCCCTGATATGTACATATATTTATCTACAGTTCACTAGATTTTTGGTATTTGCTTATACCTTATTTTTGGAAATATTTAGTATCATGAAATATAAATGATATTCGTTTATTGGCACACCCTATGTCTATTTCAGTGGAGCACCCTAATAATCAAGTCGCACCATCGAATTTGCTCTTCCTGGACGCTCTTCCGTCGCACTCTTCTCTTTTTGCCCGCAACGGTGGCTACGGTGGCTACGATCTGCTCCCCGAAAACCCAGCAAGCACTCCGATCTCCGAATAGACGTACTGCCGCCAAGGGGCGCAACATAATATATGTGTACGATTCTCCTTAGTTTTTCTTTAGTTTTATCACATTACGCAAAGAAGCGGCGTTCGAACCTAACCTCAAAGTTTGTCTGTATGTGTATGTGTGTGTGTGATGTTCCCAGCTGTTTTAGAAGCACGAAAGGTGGGGCAAAAGGGGGGATGGGGGCACTGCGCATGCGTTTCGTGGCGAATGGCGCTCGCGGCACAGTGGCTGCCAACAATTGCTGCCCACATGCTCACCACTGTAGATTTGAATACACGCGGCACACAACTTTCGGCAGCCACGGTGTATGACTTTCGGAAATGTAGGTCAGTGACATTCAAACTTCTCACGCAAAACACATGGCATGTAGTAGACACACAGACAGACACATGCACACACATATGCACGTGTCACGTCACACGTTCTTGTTGTTTTTGTAACCGGTACTTGTTAAATTCTTTTAAATATGTACATACACTTATGTATACAAATTGAACGCTTTCCCCGCACAATTTAATTAGGTATTTAACCTGTTTCAATGATTAATACAAAAAAAAATGACTTTCACCTCCAATGACCTTTTCAAAAATCTATATTACTCGCTAAATAAATAAATTAAATAATATAAATTACTTTTATAAAGAATCTGCAGAAAGGAATCTTTACAATTATTTAAAATCTATAAAGAAATGGCTGTTTATACTTAATTATCACAGAATAGATTTAATACAAATCACCTATTAATCTTTTTTTACTACAACTGATTGTATTTAAAAAAAATTTTTTTTTTTTTGATAAGCAGAAGATACCAACATTTTTAATGCTAAAATGTATGATTTAACTTTCTAAATTTTTAAATAAGATGGCTTAACGACACCAGTCAAAAATGTGCCATATTTTGTAAGAAAAATATTTTTCTCATATATATACAGTGAGTAAACTTACAAAATAATATTTCTTATCAAGTTAAGCCTAACTTACCATCTCCACACCTCCTCCTCCTCCTCCTTGACCTTCTGACGTTTGGTGGGCGATGATGATACGACCTCGGTCTTAATTTCGTGTTCCTGATCGAGAAATACAAGGGGTTTAATCATCATATCAGTGTGTAGGGTGTGTGTGCTTTTAAAGCGAAACTAAAATTAGCCAGGCCTACCTTTTTGATCTTTTTCTTCTTGGGCTTAACACTGCCGTACTCGTCGTCGGGCTCCTCCTTGACCCGCTTGTTCTTCTTCGACTTCTCCTTGGGCTCCTTCTTGACCTTCTTGCGCGCCAGCAGCGGAATGTCGTCGTCGTCGTCATCCATGCCGCCATCGGCCTGATCGGGTGCCTCCTGCTTGCGCTTACGCATGGCCAGCGGCACATCCTCCTCATCGTCGTCCTCCTCCTCGTTGTCGTTGTCCATTTCCTCGGGTTCGTTATCAGCCTCCTCGTCCTGATCATTGTCGTTCATGGTGCTATCCTCCTCGGCGTAGCTCTGCTCGTGCTTCACCTCGAATGCCGGCTCATCGGCTCGAAACTGGGACATGGAGTAGTCGCAGGAGCTCGCCTGCGATAGATTGTTGAAGCTCTCGTCCTCCTTCTTGATGTCCACAATCGATTCCTCGTAGCCGTTCTTGTAGTCGTTGCCATTGCCATTGCCATTGCAATTGATGAGCTGCTGCATGTGGAAGGGATCGATGGGGCCAGAGTGCTCCTGCTGCTGCTGCATCAGCGGCTGCGAAACGGGCTCCGGCTTGACAAACACTCCATCGTACGATGGCGGCTCCTTCGAGGAGGAGGACTGCGAGCTGCTGTGCCGCGAACTGGAATGTTTGCTCTTCGATGACGAGGATGACGATGAGGAGGAGCTCTTGTGACTGCTGCTGCTGCTGCGCTCCTTATCACGGGAACTGGACGAGGATGAGGATGACTTGTGCCGGCTGGAGGAGCTGCTGCTGCTGCTGCTGCTGCGATCCTTGTCCTTGTCGCGTCGCTCCTTGTCCTTCGAGGAGCTCTTGTGGTGGCCGGACGAGGACGATGATGACGACGAGGACTTGTGCTTGCTGCTGCTACTGCTGCTGCTCCCATCCTTGTCCCTGTGGCTAGACGAAGAGCTGCTGCGATGCTCCTTGTCCTTGTCCTTGTCCCGATGCTTCGACGACGAGCTGCTGCTGCTGCTGCTTTTGTGGCGATCCTTGTCGCTGGAAGGGATAAGATGATAGGGTTAGTGCATGCTTTATTCGTTGATTGATAAAGCTAGAATTGGCGCATTTAGAGCACCTTAAGCCGCAGCTCTCAAGGAAACAATTGGGTCAAATGGTCGTTACAAGCGTTGTTGCACTGTGTGCATAATTGAATTGAATTAAAGCTGATTTACTGTCTGAACTCCATATCCTATATTTCTTTTTTACCACCTAATTCATTTCTGTTAGCTGCTAGTTTTTACCTAAACTTTTTTACCTGGCAAATTAACAACAATGATGTTTTAAAGGTCATCACAGTTTTCTCGAAGTTCCACTTTAAATAACTTTATTTTGGCCCATGTGATTCATATGAGAAATCAGACCTTAAGTTAAATCGATTATAATGGGCAACTTTAAATATTTCAGGTGCTTCTAGACAGTTTTTGTTAATTTTGTTCTTGTGGTATTCACATTATATCTAATATGATCACATAATCATACCATATTTTAAGATAGCCATAATAGAATAAATAAATATCCTAACTGTATACACAACTAATATCCTATTGATTTCTTAGTCTTCTTTTGAATACCAAACATTGTTTTATGGATGTTATTGTATGGACAACTTTGCTGATCCTTAATGTAACAACTTGAAATATTAGGACATATGCATTTCAACTAATCCAGATGGATTTACAAGAGTAGAATATTAATATTTTGCATTTCTTATGGATATATCTGGTATATCTCATTTTATAACATGGCTGCTCTTTAATGTAACTGCTTGAAACTTTGGAACTGACAGTTTTTAGCTATTCCAGATGGTTTTACAGGAGTACAACATGAATATTTAGCATTTCTTCTAATGGTGCATATTTAATGGCATAACTAATGTAACTACTTGAATCTTTGGAACTGATAGTTTTTAACTGTTCCAAATGGTTTTACAAGAGTATAACATGAATATTTGGCATTTCTTATGAATGATATAGTATGTAACTTATCATAACTTGGCTGCTCTCTAATGTAACTACTTGAATCGTTGGAACTGACAGTTTCTAACTATTTTAGATGGTTATAAAGGAGTTTTTCATCGTTTTTGCTTAGTAATTTCCTGAATGTAACTACTTGAATCGTTGGAACTGCCAGTTTCTAACTATTACAGATGCTTCAAAGGGAGTTTCATGATCGTTCTTCATCGCTTTCGCCGACATACCGACTGCTGCTCTTGTGATCCTTCGACGAGCTGGAGGATCCGGAGCTCTTGTGCTCCCTGTCCTTATCACGGTGCTTGTCCTTGCTGGAGGATTTATGCTTGCTGCTCCCGCTGCTCCCACTGCTGCTGTGGTGGTGGTGGTGTCCGTGTCCGTTGGTGGTCACCCCGTTGGATTGAACCACCTCGCCGCAGCTGCCACCATTTTGTATGTGGATGTTCTGGTTAGAGAGAGAAGGGGAGAGCGTGAGAGAGGGAGTGAGATAGAGTTGTGGGCAATGGAGCAGCTGAAAAGTGAGAGTGTGTGAATAATCCGGGCCAGAAAACCCAACCAAAAGCGAACCTGTGCATCCGTCATAGCTTCTCTCGTTCGCTTCCTCACGATTTCCTGGGCCTTTTGATGGATTTACTATGATTATCTCGTGTCTATCCGCTCACCACGTGGTGAAAAATCAACCCTAACACAAATGCCGCGTAGGAAAATTCACTTGAAACGGGCAGCAATGGGTTAAATGCGATGAGCAGGAAGAAGAAGAGGAGCCGAAGAGCGATGGCGACAGGAAATTGGAAATATCGTTCCCGATATTCTTCCCGTTGGAAGAATAGGTTAAATGAAATGGAAATACAAAAACACCGCTGCCAAACAATGGAACACACACGCACACACACGCGCAAATTGGAGAATACAGAAAATCGTATTTTTTTTTTTAACTGCATATATTCTTCTTTTTTTTCAACGTGGGCGCTGCATCAAGGCTACACACGCACACACTTGCACACACACACACGGGGTTGTTGTTGTTGCAGCATATTATTTAGTAAGTGTGTTTTTTTTTCGGGGTGGCACATCTGTCTTATCAGACGACACACAAGCATATACAAAAAAAAAAAACACCTCTGTACGTTTGTATGTGCACATATAAATGTAATTGCAAAATGGGACTGGGACACTTGCAATTACATACATAAACGCTACACACAGAGCAACAAAAACAACAAACACATGTGATTTTAGCGCCAGTGTGACCGCATTTCGTGACGGTCCAAATGAAAACAGTGAAATTCAGGTGTTGAGGGGGGAAAAAACAAGGCAAAAGCGGGTGAAAATGATTAAAAGCAGATGAAAATTGATTAAAATTTTAAGGAAAAGCGGGGAAAACTTGGTAGAGTGGGATAGAGAAAAATACCAGCTTTGGTATTTCGGCTGCGGCCACACTGTGCCAAATACATTCGGCTTTTCCCCTCTCTCCTTTGTCCCCTGCTTCGCCTTTTGCCACTTGCATTGTCGCCATTTTCGTCAATTACCAAAAGGCCTCTTTTTTTTTCTCAGCCCCTGCATTTTACGCACTCCGCTGGCAGCGACGTCGACTGCGCTGCCGACGTCAGGCGGCGGTACACTTGCCACTATTCTTTGTACCCCCTTTTCGGTTTTGAACTCTATTTCTGATTTTTTTGCGGCAGGCAGGCTCCCCATTCAACACGTTTGCACTTTCCTCCTGGCGGCCTTGCGTTAAATTACATAAAAAGGAGAGAATTTTTTTTGGGCACTTACATTCTCGGCAGCCACATCCCCACTCATTTTGCGGCGCTCGGCGTTTTTCTTATTTTTCTTTCTACTTGTCGGTCCTTTGACTTTTTACTTTTTACTCTCTCTGCATCCGCACTTGGTTAAAAAATTGTTCACTCTTTCAGTTCGTTTTTTTTTTCTTTGCTATTCTATATTTTCTGAGCAGTTCTTGCGGCGGCGGCGGTTGGAAAGTGAGCGCACTGGGGTTTTCCGCTTTCCGTTTCCGAAATGGAGCAGCGTTTGGTGCTTCTGGCGATGCAATTCTTTGCTTTTCACAGCGCGCAGCAGCCACGCGAATCGAAAACCCTTTGCTTTTTTTTGCTTTTCACTCAAGTGACACAAAAGGTCCTAAAATTGGATGTGGTATATAAATACCGGAAAATCCCTGCAAAAAATATACCATCAAAAAGCTGATATCACGTATCGATGGTTCAAATATCGATTAAACTAAATATAATTTAAAAAAAGGAATCGATTCAATTCTTTATAATTTGGTAGCCATTTTTAAATTTTTTTTCTGTAACTAGTTTCTGAAATTTATGACAATTTAATTTTGTATGGAACAGGTTGGTAAATTTATCGTTTTAATACCCGAGATTATCTATCGAAAATACCAAAGCTGTCGATCTTGGTAGGCAGCCAGTTCCAAAACCACTGCGATCCAAGACACGAACCGCAATGTAAAATGTTTACTCATGACATAAACCTATGTCAAATATGTTCATGTAATCTAGCCAAGGCATCTACCATCTCGATAATTTGAAAAGAGCTGGTCACATTTTGGCGCTAAAATCTGCATTTTTAAAAATGGAACATTTATTTTACATTAAAGTTAGATTTCTAAGAAATAAAGATAGGCTTTTTGATTGGAATCGTTCATAACAAAAAATACATATTATGTTTTTTTTTTAGATATAATGACTGTACCTACGGGATTTTATACATATTATGTTTTTTTTTTAGATATAATGACTGTACCTACGGGATTTTCCATTTCCTTCTAATTATTCGTAATCAGTGCCCCAAAATATACAGATTCTTAGAATTAAAAGTACAACCACTGATTTGTGTTCACTTTTTTAACAAGTATTTTTAACTGCGCATTTCTTAAACCAAAAAAAAATACCACAATAACAAGGGAGGATTCAAAGTAAAAAACAAGAATAAATGAAAAGTAAAAGAAGATAGGCAAAAAACGAAGACGCAAAATCAAATGTAATAGTAATAGTAATAATGTGGATCATTTTGCGTCTGTTGACAGAGCGAGCGAGATGGCGAAATACGCGGCAAGCGTGGTAGAGGGAGAGAAAACGACAAAAGCTAAGAGAGGAGCGTAAGAGAGCGAAGAGAGCTGCCGTTATTTGTTTGACATTTATCAAGAACAACAATAAAAAGAAAATATAACAACAAAATATAACAACAAATAGCAAAGAGAGAGAGAGTGGGAGAGAGAAGGTGATAGTGATTTGTTTGACATTTTTAAGGACCAAAAATAATAAAAACACAATATTTAAAATTATACAAAAAAAGAAAAAAGATGGCGTTAAATTAAATAAAACTAAACAAAGGAAAATTCCATAAAAATAAACAAAGATTAACCAAAAAAAGTGGAAGGAGGAGGGGGAGGGGGAAACCGTTGGCTTCTATGCAATTTTCCGCCTATTTTTACACGCTCTTTATTTTATGCGAAGAGGGTGAGGGAGGGGGAGAGGGAGAGAGCGAGCGCGCTCAATGCAAACAAATTTAAACATGGCTAAATGCGTCCAACCGCCCGCCACCCACTGTCCCGCCCCCTCTTCCTCTCCTTCTGCCCTCCTCCTTCCCACCCCTCTCTCTTCGCCTTCCAACGACCTCACCTAGACAATAAGGCGAACCGAAGGAAGAGAAGCAGGAGAAGAAGAAGAAGGCACCGTGGAACGAAAATGCAAATTAAAATGGGATAAAACAATTACAAATGTGCATATGCTTACCGATCAATTGATTGATACGGTGGATATTCGAATGGGAAAGTCAGTAGATTTGAAATTCTAATTTCCCAAACTACAAACAATTCAGAACAAGGCCCATCAAGCAATTACAGATCAATGATAAACTGCCACGCAGCAAAGATTTCGATTCCATAGAATACATTAGTTTAGAAGTCTAAGGACAAATTCTTTTTTTGTAAATTCAAATATTTTTCAACACTACTAAAACTCAAAACCTCACGACACTGTGCACCACATAAGCTACCATATCTCGTTGGCGTCCCATCAACAACTTTTTTCGGGCTATGTGTGTATGCTATATAGCCTCCGATTCCGATTCGGATTCGGATTCACATCTCTACACCTCTTAGCCGCTAAAAATGTTTTTGTTAATGCCTTTAGAATTTCTCGCTTTTCTGTATCTTTACTTATTTTCCCCTCAGTAGCTATCGCTGCTTTTGATGATCGTTTTGTTTTCAGTTCATTGAAATTTAATACATCAGCCGGCACCATTCACGAGACTCGAACAATGAGGCAAAAAAAGTCAAACCTATAGGTTTTTTAATTGTATATTTACAATTTATTTCGAAAGGAATATAAATCATTAAAGATATTAACTTTTTGGTAACGAAAAAGTAGTAATATCTAATGTGTTTTCAAATAAATCAATCCATAACTTTTGAAATATGTTTTATGGTAAACAAATTCTTTTTTTTAACTTTTCAATGAAATGTAAAATCCTTTATAGTATTAAGATTACTGAGTATAAATATTTTACAATTGATTTATGGATGTATATCACTATACTATACATATCTCTAATCTCATTCTCTGACCGACTCCGATGATATTGTGCGTGTCTTTTAATTGCATTCAATTTCGGGGCTCTCGGCATTTGCATATTTTCGTGGCTGATCCGAAACTACGACATTGGATTGGATGGTTGATGGTGTGGTGATGCTGATAGTGATGGTGATGATGGAGATGGTTAGTTGGTTCGGTTTTGGTTTCGTGGGAGTGGGGATGGGGATGGGGATGGTGTGCTGTAGTGCTGTTGTGGTCGGGGGTTGTACATGGCAACAGAAAATTTGTCGGGTTTGTTTGCTTTATTGCTCCACTTTTGCTTGTGACTTTTTAGTGCCCTGGCCGCTGCCTGTCGCTGCTATTTGATTTTCACATTTTTCTTTATTTTGGTATCACATGATTATACAAACATACCCCACACACAGGTACAGATACAGATACTATACCTGCGACGTGTGTGTGTGAGTGTTCGGCGGAAAATGTCTTTTCGAAACGATCTTTTTGTTTTATTTTTTTTTTCTTCTTTTTTGGTTACTTTTTAGTTTCGGTTTTTGAGTGACTGATCTGTTGATCTCCACATTTGTCGCTGTCGTCGTCGTTTGCTCTGCACAGCAACAGCAACATCAGTGACGTCAAAGTTTACCTTCGTTCTTTTGTTATCAACAAATATTAAGAATCCCACAGTAGTGCTAATGATGTCGACCGAGTAATGACCATTTTTAATATTATCTCAAGATTTGGATAATTTCACAGAATCGCTGATAAGGTATGGGGGTATTTTTGTAGACTCTCGTTCATATCGGAACAAATTGGAAAAAATGAACGTAGAATTCGAAAGATTAGTTTTGAAAAACGTGTCTTTTGTAGGGTAGAGTAAGTGTTATACGACCATATTGTTTAATCACGTGTTGTAGTTCTGTCTGTCACATTTCGAAGCTCCGGTCACACTGGCCCGTGCTCTTTTCGAGCTTTCCCGCTCTCTTCTCGCTCTCTTTTGACTCCGTCTCGTCTTGTTGTGCTTTTTTTTTGCACCTGTTTAACTGTTTTTGTTTTTTCGCCGTTTTAAGAGTGTTCTTGTGGGTGGGAGGGGGCGGGTCGGGTCGGGACTGTAAACCCCCCATTTAACGTTGCCATGGCTCTAACTGGTTTTTCGAAATTCCTTCGCACTGCAATTTCACTTGCTCATTGGTATTTGGCCCCCAGAGCGAGTTGTATAACTATTTATGTGAGATCGTGTATGTAGACCAGGCGACAACAACTACAGTGCACCTCCTAAAACAGCAACTTGCTGATGCGAAGAATAATTGATTTTTTTTATTTGTTTAAATTATTAAAAGTATTTATTTTTAAGCTTTAACATTTAAAATAATTTTTATCTCGCATTTTTTCAGCTTAAGGAGTTTGCACTGTACAACAACGATAACCGCATGGCAAAACGAATGGGAGAGCAAAGCAAAAGAGAGCGACACAAACACAGTGGCGTCGCGTAAAAAAAGTTGTGTGTAAACAATTGGGCCCGCTCTCTATCAGCCCCCCACCCCCCTATTTTCATCTTTGCGAGAGAGTTTGTTTATGCGCCGTTTGTCCCACATAATTTTTGTTTGTTAGTTTTTCTGCAGGGTTGTCAGATGTCAAAAAAT